CACCAATAATGCAAGAGGGTTCCCTTTTCTCCACACCCTCTCCAGCATTTATCGTTTCTAGATTTTTTGATGATGGCCATTCTGACTGGTGTGAGGTGATAGCTCATTGTAGTTTTGCTTTGCATTTCTCTAATGATTAGTGATGTTGAGCATTCTTTCATGTGTTTGTTGGCAATCTGTATATCTTCTTTGGAGAAATGTCTATTTAGGTCTTCTGCCGATTTTTAGATTGGGTTGTTTTTTTCTGATATTGAGCTTCATGAGCTGCTTGTAAATTATGGAGATTAATCCATTGTCCGTTGATTCATTTGCAAATATTTTCTCCCATTCTGTGGGTTGTCTTTTCATCTTATTTATGGTTTCCTTTGCTGTGCAAAAGCTTTTAAGTTTCATTAGGTCCCATTTGTTTATTTTTGTTTTTAGTTCCATTACTCTAGGAGGTGGATCAAAACAGATCTTGCTGTGATTTATGTCAAACTCTAAGAGTTTCAGAGTGTCTGGCCTTACATTTAGGTCTTTAATCCATTTTGAGTTTACTTTTGTGTCTGGTGTCAGGAAGTGTTCTAATTTCATTCTTTTACATATAGCAGTCCAGTTTTCCCAGCACCACTTATTGAAGAGGCTGTCTTTTCTTCATTGTATATTCTTGCCTCCTTTATCAAAGATAAGGTGACCACATGTGTGCGGGTTTATCTCTGGGCTTTCTATCCTGTTCCATTGATCTATATTTCTGTTTTTGTGCCAGTACCATACTGTCTTGATTACTGTAGCTTTGTAGTATAGTCTGAAGTCACAGAGCCTGATTCCTCCAGCTCCGTTTTTCATTCTCAAGATTGCTTTGGCTATTCGGGGTCTTTTGTGTTTCCATACAAATTGTGAAATTTTTTGTTCTAGTTCTGTGAAAAATGCCATTGGCAGTTTGATAGGGATTGCATTGAATCTGTAGATTGCTTTGGCTGTGTCTTTTGTGTTTCTATACAAATTGTGAAATTTTTTGTCCTAGTTCTGTGAAAAATGCCATTGGTAGTTTGATAGGGATTGCATTGAATCTGTAGATTGCTTTGGGTAGTATGGTCATTTTCACAATGTTGATTCTTCCAATCCAAGAACATGGTATTATCTTCCCATCTGTTTGTATCATCATTGATTTCTTTCATCAGTGTCTTATAGTTTTCTGCATACAGGTCTTTTGTCTGCTAAGGTAAGTTTATTCCTAGGTATTTTATTCTTTTTGTTGCAATGGTAAATGGGAGTGCTTCCTTAATTTCTCTTTCAGATTTTTCATCATTAGTGTATAGGAATGCAAGAGATTTCTGTGTATTAATTTTGTATCCTGCTACTTTACCTAATTCATTGATTAGCTCTAGTAGTTTTCTGGTAGCATCTTTAGGAGTCTCTATGTATAGTATCATGTCTCCTGCAAACAGTGACAGTTTTACTTCTTCTTCTTTGATTTGGATTCCTTTTATTTCTTTTTCCTCTCTGATTGCTGTGGCTAAAACTTCCAAAACTATGTCAAATAATAGTGGTGAGAGTGGGCAACCTTGTCTTGTTCTTGATTTTAGAGGAAATGGTTTCGGTTTTTCACCATTGAGAATGATGTTGGCTGTGGGTTTGTCAGCTATGGTCTTTATTATGTTGAGGTGAGTTCCCTCTATGCCTGCTTTCTGGAGGGGTTTTATCATAAATGGGTGTTGAATTTTGACGAAAGCTTTCTCTGCATCTATTGAGACGACCATATGGTTTTTATCCTTCAGTTGGTTAATATGGTGTATCACATTGATTGATTTGCATATATTAAAGAATCCTTGCATTCCTGGAATAAATCCCACTTGATCATGGTGTATGATCCTTTTAATGTGCTGTTGGATTCTGTTTGCTAGTATTTTGTTGAGGATTTTTGCATCTATGTTCATCAGTGATATTGGCCTGTAGTTTTCTTTTTGTGTGACATCTTTGTCTGGTTTTGGTATCAGGTGATGGTGGCCTCGTAGAATGAGTTTGGGAGTGTTCCTCCCTCTGCTATATTTTGGAAGAGTTTGAGAAGGATAGATGTTAGCTCTTCTCTAAATGTTGGACAGAATTCGCCTGTGAAGCCATCTGGTCCTGGGCTTTTGTTTGTTGGAAGCTTTTTATCACAGTTTCAATTTTAGTGCTTGTGATTTGTCTGTTTATATTTTCTGTTTGTTCCTGGTTCAGTCTCGGAAGGTTGTGCTTTTCCAAGAATTTGTCCATTTCTTCCAGGTTGTCTGTTTTATTGGCATAGAGTTGCTTGTAGTAATCTCTCATGATCCTTTGCATTTCTGCAGTGTCAGTTGTTACTTCTTTTTCATTTCTAATTCTGTTGATTTGGGTCTTCTCCCTTCTTTTCTTGATGAGTCTGGCTAGTGGTTTATCAGTTTTGTTTATCTTCTCAAAGAACCAGCTTTTAGTTTTATTGATCTTAGCTATCGTTTCCTTCATTTCTTTTTCATTTATTTCTGATCTGATCTTTATGATTTCTTTCCTTCTGCTAACTTTGGGGTTTTTTTGTTCTTCTAATTGCTTTACGTGTAAGATTAGGTTGTTTATTTGAGATGTTTCTTGAGGTAGGATTGTATTACTATAAACTTCCCTTTTAGAACTGCTTTTGCTGCATCCCATAGGGTTTGGGTCATCCTGTTTTCATTGTCATTTGTTTCTAGGTATTTTTTGATTTCCTCTTTGATTTCTTCAGTGATCTCTTGGTTATTTAGTAGGGTATTGTTTAGCCTCCATGTGTTTGTAATTTTTACAGATTTTCTCCTGTAATTGATATCTAGTCTCATAGCATTGTGGTCAGAAAAGATACTTGATACAACTTCAATTTTCTTAAATTTACCAAGGCTTGATTTGTGACCCAGGATATGGTCCATCCTGCAGAATGTTCCATGAGCACTGGAGAAGAAAGTGTATTCTGTTGCTTTTGGATGGAATGTCCTATAAATATCAATTAAGGCCATCTTGTTTAATGTGTGATTTAAAGTGTCTGTTTCCTTATTCATTTTCATTTTGGATGATCTGTCCATTGGTGAAAGTGGGGTGTTAAAGTCCCCTACTATGATTGCATTACTGTCGATTTCCCTTTATGGCTGTTAGCATTTGCCTTAAGTATTGAGGTTCTCCTATGTGGGGTGCATAAATGTTTACAATTGTTATATCTTCTTCTTGGATCGATCCCTTGATCATTATGAAGTGTCCTTCTTTGTCTCTTTTAATAGTCTTTATTTTAAGGTCTATTTTGTCTGATATGAGAATTGCTACTCTAGCCTTCTTCTTAGTTCTTTATTTTAGTATGTTGTACCATTATGTAGTTTTGTCAGGTTTACTGAAGCATAATTTCCATACATTAAAATTCACCCTTTTAAATGTATAGTTTGATGAGTTGTGCAATCAATCTTCTCTTCCCACCAGATCCTGGTAACCAATGATCTGATTTTGGTTTCTATAGTTTTGTCTTTTCTAGGATGTCATATTAATGGAATCACACAGTGTGTAGCCTTTTGTGATGAGTGTCCTAACTTGGCATAGTACTTTTAAGATTCATCTGTGTTACTGCATATATTCACTAGTTTGTTCCTGTGTCAATTTGGATAGGCTGAATTATGTTTCCCAGAATTCTCTCCCATGTATGCTTCTAGGTAGGGTGGGCACAAGACACATTTCAGTGTGAAATTTGGTGGGGAGAAATGGAGCAGCAGCCATTTGGCGTTTTTTTGCAGGCACTTTCATAGTTTACACATGTTGAAACTTATCTGCTGGCTCAACCTGCTGGTGAAGGTCAGCAGCCAGGACTCTAATCATTCCACCTTTCCTTGGCTTGTCCTTCAGTTTCTCTAATTCTGGACCACGTGTGTTTAGCAACGTGGCAAAGGGTAACTTCTCCCACAGGATTCCCACACCATCAAGGTTGGAGACAGTGACAAGTAACAAGGGTCTCAGACCGTCCTCATGGGTTCCAGCTTATCCGCATTTCTTCCCCCTGACACCTATTTTCCTCTTCCAACAGCCAACCTGGTGAACTTCAAGCTCCAGTATTAGATGCAAAAACAACAGCCTCAGAGACTGCTTAACCAACTCCAACAACTGTGTAATGTCAAATCCCTGTAAACAAATCACTGTACACACAAACATATGTGCCTGCCAATATCCTAGTAGTTCTGCTTCTCTGACTGATACGATTCCTTTTTATCACTGAGTAGATTTCCATTGTATGGATGTAGGATTTACTTACCCATTCACCAGTTCACGGGCATTTGGTTGTTTTCAATTTTGGATCATGAATAAAGCTGCTATAAACACTCACATACAGGTCTTTGTATAGTCATATTATTTCAAAATATGGTATTTACAAATATAAAAAGAAATAGCTAAAAGAGTCAACTATCATTGCCACCAGAGGCAGGAAGAGGTACAAAGGGGTCTCATGTTGATGTTTTGCATTTTAGACCTTTGTTGCCATAATTTAAAAAAACAACAACAGTGAACTGTATACTTTAAAAGTAAATTTTATGATATGTGAATTATATCTCAATTAAAAGTATAAAAGTATACAATAAAACAATGAACAAACTGTGTCAATTTATAATCCAATGTCAAGTTTTATTTACCTTTTTTCTTACAATATGCTGTCATTCAAAATATACCTCGTAAGTAACTCATGCATACAGTAGGCACTCTATAAATATTTTGATTTAATAATTAGATATTTTTTAGAATGACTAAAAACCCTGATGTAAAATCCCAATTGGGAAGTGCTTAATCCCATCATAGACAAAATATATAACTTTACAATAAACATTTTTATAAGAATTTGCCCAAAAAAGGGAACACTTACAATTTGGAAATTAAAAAATAAAAAGTAAAAAGCAAGATGAAACACAACACTAACATATTTCAACATTGATCCCTGGATCGGTGGTACTTATAGACCAAGGGCTACCTGCACCCTGTGGCCTTAAGACCATCTGACATTCAGTTAAGAAGATAATTATATACATAATAACCTCTTAACTGGAAATGCTGCATGAATAAATAAGGAATAGCCTATGAAAAAAATGTTAACTATATCCCTTACATGAGCACAGGAAAAAAATTTAAATATATACTTTATTCTCCAATTTAAAAAGTCAATGCTTTTCACCCTAAGCATCAAGAATGAGCCACAAATAAGCATGAAGTCCCGTTTCTAGAACTACGTTAAATCCTGTGGAAAATACTTTTGGATATAAGATCAAGAACCTTAGTCCAAAAGTAAAACAAATCCTTGCATTAAAGGGTCTTCCAATGTTTACACAAACAAAACAGGCTGTGACCATACATAACAAAGAAATACCTTCTAAATCCTTATTTTGGGTTAGCTTTATAACTAGGAACATTCACTCCAGCTTGAAAAAAAATTATATCACTTTTATGATAATAAAAAATTAAAAGCCAATAAATACCTAACCTTAGAGAAGTAGCTGTGCAAACTTATAAACATAATCAAATACTCTATAGCTACAAAATGAAAAGTCTACTAACTATATTTTTCAAAAACTATATAATTCTATAAAAATTTAAATACGTGGACTCTATCAATACATGGAAATGTATATATAAAATACTATTAAGTGAAAAAAGCAAAATGAAAAATATAAAGTGATTACAACCATGTAAAAGTAAATATATTACAGTAACAAACTGAGGTGAATTTAAATTTATAGACACAAATAGATTCAAACATTCATTAGGGCTTTATCTTTGTTGCTTAAGATTATAACAAAAGAAAAAAGAAAAAATAGACTACTGTTTTAGGTAAACCTATACTCCTAAACAATAAATACTGAACTATATATGTAAACTCCTAAAACAAAGATTTTAAAAAACAAGACTTCTATATCTCAAGTGTACCCTATGGAAGGAGATCAGTCCACATTTGCTGATCTTCATTTTTACAAAACCTTCTGGCAATAGTCACTACAATTCTAATGCTGTCCTTCTTAAGCAGAAAGGGAAAAAAAATTTAAGCACCGTTTAAATAAGAAAACTAAGCAGCATGCTAATAAAATCTACCTACTTAATCTGTTTCATTACTGCAAGAAGCCACGAACAGAGGGTTTTAAAAAAACTAATCGTATATACATATTTTACATAACATATATTTATTCTATAAATATTTTAAAGAATGGCTTTTACATAATTCTTTATTTCAATATATATCTTACTAATTTAATTGCAAGTTATACAAATGCAGTCTTTCAGATTTATTATTGAAAATTATTCTCTACGTGATTTAGAAAATCGCTAATTTCTTGGATAAAACATAGCATATTTAGAAGTCCGAAAGCCAAGTAAATCCCTTATTTCATTTCGGAATTTTGACAGGTCTTGGCGCAGTTCATTTAGATTTTCCACAGTTGCCTGATCTGTACTTTGCATCTTTTGTCTCATGGAAGTCAAGTAACGATGCACTAAACAGCACATCACTTTTTGGTAGTTTTCATCTCTCTTTTGCTTCAAATTTCTCCATTCCTTCAAAACAAAAACTATGATACTAACAATGTGCATAAAAATATTTAAATGAGGTGGATTTTAAAAAAAATTTACAGATACAAACACATATCTTGTAATGCTTTATGAGACTGTATTTTTGCCACTACATGTTACAAAATAATGTTCAACACATTTGAAACATGCCATGCATATTTGTTTTATTCATTTACCTGTACACTTACCTTGATTTAAGATCTTTAGTTTATAGTAGGGATTAGCAAACTATGACCCACAGGCCAAATATGACCCACTTCCTGTTTCTGATGGCCTATGATCTAAGAATGGCTTTTACAGATGAACATTTTGTAATCAATTTGATGATGGGGACTACTAATTTTGAACTCCAAATAAACAAAATGTTATTTCCCCCCAAAATGGAATTCTATTCATTAATAGAGCTGTATTATAAAAAAAAGTGTTACTCAATTATTCTTATATGTTTAATTTCATCAATAAAAATTTTGTGGAAATTTGTTTTCTCTCTTGTTATATTACTACCCACATAAAACCTACAATTTTTTCACAGCCCACAAAGTCTAAAATATTTATTATCCGGTCATTTACAGAAAAAGTTTGCCAATTCCTGGCTTATAGCAACATGTATTGAATTATTAATGTATTGAACAACTTTCAAGAAGAACCAGAAAAATATGCATTGACTCTAAGAGTCACTCTTATGCTGACAGCCTAGGTATTCTGAATATTTTCCTTGTTTTAAAACTGTGAGATGAGAATTCATGAAAAAAATCACAGCTCTCTCTCTCATTTTCAATAAATATTTATTGGATCCTTACTTTATGTTAGATACTATGCTATGCATTAGGGATACAGGAGTGAAAAAAAGAAGTCTTAGCCCTTGTTTTTTTTAAGCTGTTTTGCTAATTGCTTTATAACCACAACAAATTAGTACAGAGAATGCCCTGTACAAAAAACACAGCATATTTATGCTTTAGGAACATCTGAGATTAGTAATTATTAAAATTATCATGTTGCAGTTCAACCATCTAACTTCTTACCTTTAAGCTGTTCTGCCGTTTAACCTTGCCTTTTGATGTGTGAGAGCAAATCCATTTACTGAGGCTACTAATCATATAGCAGATAGTCTTTGGCGAAGGAATGATGTTGAAAGGTGGGGGTAATGTACATTTGTCATCAAAGTAGCTAAGCCACAACTTTGCTCGAGCAAACTTCCATTCTTTGTCTTCATGATTCTATAAGAGGCAAGTGAAAAACCAACACAGGATATGAATAGGCATGCACACACGCACACACACACAGTAGGGCTGGTATGAAGAGATTGTTTAAGATTGTTCAAATGTTTCCACACCTTGTAGGTAAAAATTTGGTTCAAGACTTGCAGTTAATATACATTACTTACATTTTAAAAAAAAATCTATATTTAATTTTTAAATGACACATTCTTAATTCTTTTAAATCTTTGCCTTATCTACTACATACATTTGGTATGGTCTGAAGAGAATATAAAATTTTTAAAAGAATGAACACTTACTGCTATCAACTGAAAACTTTTATGAAGCATTGCCACCAGCAGCTTAGTAAGCACAATCACAACCACAACATTGTATGTCCCAACAATAACAGCTCCGACGAAGGACTGTAATTCTTCTCCGTAGCTAAATCTTGTGACAAAGATTGCCACATGTGCTAAGGAGAAAATATACCAGAACAAAGCAAAGCAAGTGCCGATGAACCTGTAAAGACGATTACATTTCTGTTTAAAAGGAATTTTAAGTTAATTAGCGAAAATAAAGAATTCATTTATATCAACATTACCTAAAGAATACATAGATAGCCCAGGAGTAATATTTTATATAATAACTGAGGTTGGACCCAACATCACAGATATGCCTTACTTTAAACAAAGAAACAAACTCAAAAGGAAGATAAATTATTCCTGTTTAATCTCTTACTACTTCTCTGTCTTTTCTCAACAGAGCAGCCTACGCTCCTGTAATACTTAGTTAGATTTTGCCACTTCTTCGCTCAAAAACTTCAAATGGCTCTCAAGCTCAACAGCCCAAAGTGCATACAAGGGTCAACAAGGTCCTACATGATCCCATTACCTTTCTTTCTTTTTTTCCCTTCCTTTATTTCTTTCTTTCAATTGAAGTATAGTTGATTTACAATATTATGTTAGTTTTAGGTGTACAGCATAGTGATTCAGTATTTTTGCAGATCATACTTCATTATAAATTATTACAGGATAATGGCTATAATTCCCTGTGCTATACAATATATCCTTGTTGCTTATCTATTTTATACATAGTGGTTTGTATCTGTTAATCTCATACCCATAATTTGTCCATCCCTGCTTCCCTCTCCCCTTTGGTAACCACAAGTTTGTTTTTCTATATCTGTGAGTCTGTTTCTCTTCTGCATATACATTCATTTGTATTATTGTTTAGATTCCACATAGAAGTAACATTATACAGTATTTGTCTTTCTCTGTCTGACTTATTTCACTAAGTATAATATTATCTAGATCCATGCACATTGTTGCAAATGGCAAAATTTCATTCTTTTTTATGGTTGAATATTAAATTGTGTATTTATATGGATTAAGAAGGTGGGATATATATATCCCACCTTCTTAATTCATTCATCTGTCGACGGGCCCTTGGGTTGCTTCCATATCTTGGCTACTGTAAATAGTCCTGCTATGAACATTGGGGTGCACGTATCTTTTCAAATTAGTGCTTTCATTTTTTTCTGGCTATATAACAAGGAGTGGAATTGCTGGATCATACAGTAGTTCTATTTTTAGTTTTTTAAGGAACCTCCATACTGTTTTCCACAGTGGCTGCACCAATTTACATTCCCACCAACAGTGTATGAGGTTTCTCTTTTCTCCACATCTTCTCCGACATTTGTAATTTGTAGAGTTTTTGATGATGGCCATTCTGACTGGTGTGAGACGATATCTCATTTTTGCTTTGATTTGCATTTCTCTAATAATTAGTGATGTTAGGCACCTTTTCATGTGCCTGTTAGTCATCTGTATGTCTTCTTTGGAAATATGTCTATTCAGGTCTTCTGCCTATTTTCTGATTGTGTTGTTTGTTTTTCAATATCGAGTTGTATCAGCTGTTTACATATTTTGGATATTAACCCTCCATCAGTCACATGACTTGTAAATATTTTCTCCCATTTTGTAGGTTGTCTTTTCGTTTTGTCAATGGTTTCCTTTGTTGTGCAAAAGCATTTAACTTTAGTTAGGTCCATTTGCTTATTTTTGCTTTTATTTCTTTTGCCTTAGGAGGCTGATACAAAAAAATATTGTTATGATGTATGTCAAAGAGTGTTCTATGTTCTCTTCTAGGAGTTTTACTGTGTCGTGTCTTACATTTAGGTCTTTTAACCACTTTGAGTTTATTTGTGTATATGGTCTGAGGGAATATTCTAATCTCATTGTTTTATGTGTAGCTGTCCAGTGTTTCTAGCACCACTTGTTGAAGAGAGTGTCTTTTATCCACTGTATATTCTTGCCTTGTTTGTCATTGATTAATTGACCAAAGGTGCATGGGTTTATTTCTGGGCTCTCTATTCTGTCCCACTGATCTGTTTTTGTGCCAGTATCATGCTGTTTTGATTTCTGTAGCTTTGTAGTATAGTCTGAAGTCTGGGAGGCTTACGCCTCCAGCTTTGTTCCTTTTTCTCAAGATTGCTTTGGCAATTCAGGGTCTTTTCTGGCTCCATATGAATATTAGGATTATTTGTTCTAGCTCTGTGAAAGATGTTATGGGTATTTTGATAGGGACTGCATTAAATCTGTAGATTGCTTTGGGTAGTTTGGCCATTTTAACAATGTTAATTCTTCCAATCCAAGAACACGGGGTAACTTTCCATTTGTATCATCTTCAATTTCCTACATCAATGTTTCATAATTTTCAGAGTACTGTCTTTCACCTCCTTGGTTAAGTTTATGGCTAGGTGTGATTTTAAATGGGATTGATTTTGGTTTTTTACTTTCTCTTTCTGATATTTCATTATTAGTGTATAGAAACTAATTAACACGCACAGATTTCTGTATGTTAACCTTGTATCCTGCAACCTTGTTGAATTCCCTTATTAGTTCTAATAGTTCTTTGGGTGGAGACGTTAGGATTTTCTATATAAAATATGTCATCTGCAAATAGTGAGTTTTACACCTTCCCTTCCAATTTGGATATGTCTTATTTGATCACTGTGGCTAGGACTTCCAATACTTTGTTAAATAGAAGTGGTGAGAGTGGCCATCCTTGTCTTGTTCCTGAATTTAATGGGAAAGCTTTCAGCTTTTCATCGAGTGTGATGTTGACTATGGGTTTGTCAAATGGCCTTTGTCACATTGAGATATGTTCCCTCTATTCCCGCTTTGATGAATTTTTATCATGAATGGATGCTGAATTTTGTCAAACACTTTTTCTGCAACTATTGAGATGACCATGTGATTTTTATCCTACCTTTTGTTAATGTTGTGTATCACATTGATTGATTTGCATATATTGAACCATCCTTGTGACCCTGGAGTAAATCCGACTCTATCATAGTGTATGATCCTTTTTACACATTTTTAGATTCAATTTGCAAATATTTTATTGAGGATTTTTGCATCTATATTTACCAAAAATATTAGCCTGTAATTTGCTTTGTACTGTCTTTGTCTGATTTTGGTATCAGGGTAATGGTGGCCTCATAGAATGAATTTGGGAGTGTTCCATCCTCTTTAATTCTTTGGAATACTTTGAGAAGGATAGGTATTAATTCTTTATATGTTTGGTAGAATTCCCCTGTGAAGCCATCCCATTTTGGACTTTTGTTTGCTGGGTTTTTTTTTTTTTACAAATCCAATTTCACTTCTAGTGATCAGTATGTTCAAATTGACTGTTTCTTCTTGATTCAGTCTTGGCAGGCTGTATGTTTCTAGAAATTTGTTCATTTCTTTTTGGTTGTCCAATTTGTTGGCATATAACTGTTCATAGTATTCTCTTATGATTTTTTTGTATCGCTGTGGTATTGGTTTGTTATTTCTCCACTTTCATTTATTTTGTTTATTTGGGTAAAGGCTGGCTTTTTCTTCTTGGTAAGCCTGGCTAAAGGTTTATCAATTTTGTTAATCTTTTCAAAAAAACAGTTCTTGGTTTCATTGATCTTTTCTGTTTTTTATCTCTATTTTATTTATTTCCACTCTGATCTTTATTATTTCCTTCCTTCCTTCCTTCTGCTGACTTGGGGCTTTGTTTGCTCTTTTTCTAATTCTTTTAGGTGGTAGGTTAAGATATTTGTTTGAAATTTTTCTTATTTCTTGAGGAAGGCCAGTATTGCTATAAACTTCCCTCTTAGAACTGCTTCTGCTGCATCCCTCAAATTTTGGAAAGTTGTGTTTCCATTTTCATTTGTCTCGAGCTATTTTCTGATTTCCTCTTTGATTTTATCATTGACCCATTGGTTTTTTAGTAGCATGTTATTTAGTCTCCACGTGTTTGTTCTTTTCCCATTTTCCTTTCTATAGTTGATTTCTAGTTTCATATCACTGCAGTCAGAAAAAAATGCTTCATATAATTTCTATTCTCTTAAATTTATTAAGGCTTGTTTTGTGGCCTAGTACATGATCCATCCTGGAGAACATTCCATATACACGTGAAAAGAATGTGTATTCTGCTGTTCTGGGATGGAATGTCCTGTAAATACCAATTAAGTTCAACTGGTCTAGGGTGTCATTTAGGAACACTGTTTTCTTACTGATTTTGTTTGGATGATCTATCCATTGATGTCACTGAGAGGTTAAAGTCCCCTACTATTATTGTATTACTATCAATTTCTCCCTTTATGTCTGTTAGTATTTGCTTTATATATTTAGGTGCTCCAGTATTGGGTGCATATATGTTAATGAGTGTAACATCCTCTTTTGTGTATCCCTTTATCATTATACAGTGCTCATCTTTGTCTTTTGTTACAGACTTTGTTTTAAAGTCTATTTTGACTGATATGAGTATTGCTATCCCTGCTTCTTTGTCATTTTCATCTGCATGAAGTATCTTTTTCTATCCCTCACTTTTTCTTTGTTTCTTTAGCCCTGAAGTGAGTCTCTTGCAGGCAGCATGTTGAAGGGTCTTGTGTTTTCATGGAATCAGCCACCCTATGTCTTTTGATTGGAGCATTTAGTCCATTGACATTTAACATAGTTATTGATAGGTATGCAGTTACTACCATTTTATTCCTTGTTTTCCAGTTGTTTTTGTAGTTCTCTTCTGTTCATTCCTTCTTTTTGTTTCTCTTGTTGTGGTTTGATGATTTCCTTTAGTAGTATGCTTGAGTTCCTTTCTTTTTGGTTTTTGCATATCTATCATAGGTTTTTGTTTTTTTTTTCAGTACACAGGCCTCTCACTGTTGTGGCCTCTCCCGTTGTGGAGCACAGGCTCCGGACGCACAGGCTCAGTGGCCATGGCTCAGAGGCCTAGCCGCTCCGTGGCACGTGGGATCTTCCCAGACCAGGGCACGAACCCGTGTCCCCTGCATCGGCAGGCAGACTCTCAACCACTGCGCCACCAGGGAAGCCCTATCATAGGTTTTTGATTTGTGTTTACCATAGGGCTCATATATGCTGTCCCATAATTATATCTACTTGTTTTAAACTGATAGTCATTTAAGTTCAAACACATTTTAAAAGATCTACATTTTTACACCCCTCACCCACATCGTGTTTCTAATGTCATATTTTACATCTTCATGCTTATCTCTCAACTGTTTACTGCATTTATAGTTGCTTTTGTGTGTATGTTTTTTTCTTTTCATCTATGTACTGGCTTTTTAAAGTAATCTTCAATCCTTACTATGTAACTGCCTTTCCTAGTGGGATTTTCCCTTTCCTATAGATTCTTGCTTCTTTTCCATTTAGATAAGACCCTTCAACATTTTTTAGGTTTACTATTGATGAATTCTTTTAGTTTTTGACTGTCTGATAAGTTCTTTATTTCTCCTTCTATTCTAAACGATAATCTTGCTGGGTAGAGTATCCTTGGTTGTAGGTTTTTTCCTCTCAGCACTTTGAATATATCAAGCCTCTCCCTTTTGGCCCACAAAGTTTCTGCAGAGAAAATCAGCTGATAGTCTTATGGGGATTCCCTTGTATATGACTGATTTTCTCTTCATGCCTTTAGAATTCTCTCTTTATCTTTTGCCATGTTGTTTATGATATGTCTTGATGTGGGTCTGTTTGGTTTCATCTTGTTTTGGACCCTCTGTGCTTCCTGTACCTGGATATCTGTTTCCTTCTTCAGATTTGGGAAAGTTTCAGCCATAATTTCTTCAAATACATTTTTGATCCCCTTCCCTCTCTCTCTTATCCTTCTGGAACCCCTATTATGTGAATGTTGGTATGTTTAATGTTATCCTAGAGATCTAGTGGACTCCTTTTGTTTTTTTGTTTATTTTCATTTGTCTTTCTTTCTGCTGTTCTGATTGGGTGATTTCCATTATTCTATCTTCCAGATCACTTATGTGTTCTTCTGTGTCACTTAGGCTGTTATTCAGAGTGTTTTTTATTTCAGATATTGAATTGCCTATTTTTGTTTGGGTCTTTTTTATATTTTCTAGTTCCTTGTTAAAATGATCTTTGTTTAGATCAATTCTCTTGATCTAAACTAATTTAGTTAGCATTTTTATTACCAATGACGTGAATTCTTTATCTGGTAAATTGTTTATTTCTGTTTCATTATTTATTTTTTCAAGGTTTTTCTCTTACTTTTTCAATTGAGAGTAGTTCCTCTGCCTTTTCATTTTACTTAACTTTCTTTGCCTCTATGAATTTAGGTGAAACAGTTACCTATTGTGGTCTTGAAGGGGTGTTATGTGTGTACCCAATGCCTTTGGTGGGATGGCTGGATTTGATGTGGACACCAGTGTTTCCTCAGGGTATGCTGGCAGCTATGACCTTGGTAGGAGGTGTGGCTAGAGATGGAAGAGCTAGAGCCCACGCAGGGTGTGAGGTGCGATGTTCTCTTTGCTCACTGGCCATCACTGCCCTGTGGGATCTGCTCCCAAGCTGCTGGAGTAAAAGCCCTGAGGGTCAGGCTAGAGCTGGCTCTGTTCCTTTTCAAGTGTGTTTTTCCTTCTCCCCACACCAGGATCTTTGCCCCAAAGGAGGGGGCTGCTGAAGCAAGTGGGGTTCATGCACTTATAGAGGTCTAATGCACTACCTGTGTACGTGTCCGTGGCTCCACTCAGATGCAGCCCATGGTCATGTCTTTTCCCTGGTATTGGCCACCCCAGATCTAGCGCTGCGCTACGGTGTGAAGTGAGTGGGGCCAGAGCATCCACTCAGTCTGGGCTTGGGCACATAGCAAGGTGGCCACAGGAAACCCAGCAGCTGTGCTGTCAAAACTCTGGGCTGCTTCTGGGGTGCCACTGGAGTAAGCTCCAACAATGGCAGCTGCCACACCACCTGGGCTACGCTCCAGGACTGGTTGCCTCTATGTCACAAGGACGAGTCTTCTCCCAAGTCCTGGATGCCCTAGATCCAGTGCCATCCTGTGATGTGGAATGAGTGGAGCTGGGGTATTCTCTCAGTTTGGGCTGGGGAGAGCAGCAAGGTGGTCACAGGAAACCTGACAGCCACTAGGGCAGACCTCTGTCTGCCCTAGCAGGGGGCAAGCCAGCACCTGCACCCCTCATTAGTGGCATCCAGGCTGTTCCAGCCTTTCTATCTCTCCCAGGGTTTCTCCAGCCAGTTAAGGGGGCTTGTCTCCTATGCGTAGAAACCAGACTGGAACACCCAGTCTGTGGCTTGACCCACTAACTCCCCAGGGCGAGTATCCACCTGTGTAATCTCCCTTTTCCTTTGAATCCCTTCCCAGGGCACAGGTCCTGACCAATCACTTTCTTCTCATCCTACCCGATTACATGTATACCTTTCTTAAAGCCTTTGCTGTACAGGAGTCCTTCTGCCTCTTTCCAGCTAGCTTTCAGTGAGAATTATTCCACATGTAGATGTATTTTTGATGTGTTTGTGGGGGGAGGTGAGCTCCAAGTCCTCTTACTCCACCATCTTGATCTGCTTTATTCCCCATTACCCTCCTGACCTAATCTACTACAGCTCTCGCTCTGATTCACTACATACAATCCACGCTGACCTCCTGGCTTTTTCTTGAACATACCAACCACACTCCCATCTCAAGGCATTTGCATTTGCCATTCCCCTATCTGCCAACGCTCCTCCTCCAGATACCTTTTCATGGCTTGATCCTTCACCAGCTTTATATCTTTACTTGGATGTCATCTTTTGTGAGGCCTTCCTTAACCTCCTACCTAACTAAAGCTACACCCTCTCACACAAAAATCCTCCCTGGCCCAAGCTTTATTTGGGCTACAGGCAAGGGCCTGTGTAATACTGATATATACTATATCAATACTGTGCAATATACTATATATTTTATTTTTATTGCCTGTATCACCTCAACAGAATAATAAACTCCATGAGGGTAGTTTTGTTCACTGATACTTCATTTACTTAGCACTTAGAACAGGGTCTGGCATACTGAAGGTGTTAGATGAATATTTATTACTCATTTAATCTTATTCCTTAAATAAACTAAAGAATAGTTGGTACATAATAGGGATACAACAAACGTGTAATTCTACACCTCTTCTCCATTATTTTATCTAAGAATGTGGGGAGGTATTTTGTCTGCCTCACGACTGGTTGTTCAATTCCTTCTGATACAATAAATTAGAGGAAAAAAATGTTCTTGAAGCTTTAACAATCTCAACCCTAATGACCTCCTAAGAAGTGTTGAAATCTGAGAGTGCTTTGGTTGTAACAATGACTGAGAATTGCCACTGACAATTAATACTTGAAGGGCAGAGACGTGGAACATCTCACAATACATATATAGGACTCACAAAGAACTGTCCTGCCCAAAATACAAAGAGTGCACAAAATGCAAGAGTTCCTCTGTTAAGATAGACTGTAGTTGAGGACACAATGTAATAACTCAGGCCACTAATTATTTAAGATTCTATGTGTAAAGGTGACTATAAATGATTCATGAAAAATAAGTATTTCTTATTCAAAATGCATTTCTTAAAGAAAATTTGAAGTCCTAGTTCTGTAGGTATGAATTCACACATAACACAACAGAAAGACAGACATACATTTACTAAAAATTTAAAAGACACTCACGAATGGAAGGTATCATTGCTTTGCTGTTCACAGAAGATGCCTACACAGTCCTTCTGTTCTTTTGGAGTATAGTCTTTATCATACAGTTGTGTCAGTCCAATTGTGAAAGAAAACAAAACAAGAAGAAACATTCCAAGAAATTTTCCAAAATCTTGTAACATCTGTCCCATTGAAATCTGTGGAATATATTACATAGGCATTCATTAAAATCATCAGGAAAACAAAATACGAAAAACTAAATGACCAGGCAAGAAAACATATGATCCACAAGGCTACTCCTTTTTTTCCACCTGTTTGAGATATTTCATCACTTTTAAAACACCAAAAATCCAGTTGTCAAACAAAAAGCCATTCTGATCATGCCAGCACTGTGAGTGTTGGATGGTACATTCCTTGAATCTGGACCAAGTCTGCAGAGGATAATTTTGCTATGAAGGTAGAGGAAGAGACATAGAGATTTAAGAAAAGGCCTAATTTGCAAGGGATGAAAGGAAAATTCTTTGCTAAAACCTAAAGGGAAGTAAATGCTTATATTTATAGTTTCTCAAAGTTTACAAATATAAAACGATTAGGACATAAAGTATTTCATTTGATTTTTGCAACCAATTTAAACCACTTTCTGAAGAACAGCATTTCCCCCTCTAGGACTGTCCTAATCTCTTTTGCCAAGGTGATCAATTCTCTTTCATTTGGGGTCTATTATAAGAAAAAATTATACGTGTTAAGTCAAATGAGAGGGTCTAATACTTATGTGAGTATCTACCATAATTTAGACATATGTAATGCATCTGGGAGCTTTATTCAAGCCTAATTTCATTCTCCTTTAATACTCTTTCAAATTCTGGGGAATAGGTACTTTTCATAAATTCTTGTTATTTAAATTGGCATACAAATTTGGAGAATAATTTAACATTACGCTTTGATCCCAAAATTCTATCCCTAGGAATTTAGCCAACAGGAAGTACACAAAGATGCATTACATACAAGGATTTTCATTGTAGCGCTGTAGAAAAAGAAATTAGAACATCCTAAATGTTGTTGTTAAAAAGAATGAAGTGCTATGTGCTGGCATAGAAAGATGCCTACAAAACATTAAGTCAAAAAAGCAGGGTACACAACAGTATTAAACAGCTATTTTTTTAAAGGATAGGTTAGATATATATTTTCATATAGATAAGGTTTGATATGCACAGGAAATTTCTGGAAGTTTACACAAGAAACCATTAACAGTGCTTGTCTATGGGAGGTAGGACTAGGGGTGTGGTTTGAATCTTCTTTGCTATATGTATTTATTACTTTTAAGATACAAAAATTAAGTGTTTAGAAATAATCTCTCCTCAAATGTAACCAGGCCAAATTTATATAATTAGTGAAATCCAACTTCAAATAAAATTCCGAACTCCCTCGAGCCTGCCAAAATAATGCATACCAATCACTGACGACACAAAATAGTAGCAGCAGGCAAGTGGCCAAGCCCCTCCAGCCCACTATAGTGAGACAGCTAATTAAGTCGAAGAGGTGTGGTAAAATTTTTAGGCACAGCACAAGCTAGTATTCCAGGCGACATGGAGTGGGGAGGTCCACTATGCCTGACTTTTATGCACTTGACTAGCATGTGACTCTTTTCAAAATCTTATGCTTCCCTCACTTAGCCCCCTTGCCAAATTCTGATGGAAGCAACAGAAAACTTTTAGAATCAGAAAGCTCAAAATGTGTGAGAAAGAGAAGAAATACACTTCTCTCTTAATCAATGATAGTTTTATTAGGTCACTTTGGAAAGAAATCACTTATTCAGATTGTGACTGCTTAGAATAAAGCCATATCGTGTTAGTAGAGAACCTAATAATGTATGACAGTGAGAGTACAATAACTGCTTTAGATAAGTACAGAAAAGATTGGATTTGAAGAAAATTTAGACACTGTGAGCTTAAAGGTAAATAAAGTTTTCCAAGAGTGACCATGTATGCTGTTATAATTTTAATTTCAAAAATTTAGTCCAAAAGTGAAAGCCTTAATTTAATATTACTGGGTTTTTTTTTGTTTTTGTTTTTGTTTTTTTTTGCGGTACGCGGGCCTCTCACTGTTGTGGCCTCTCCCATTGTGGAGCACAGGCTCCGGATGCGCAGGCTCAGCGGCCATGGCTCACGGGCCCAGCCGCTCTGCGGCATGTGGGATCTTCCGGAACCGGGGCACGAACCCGTGAACCCTGCATCGGCAGGCGGACTCTCAATCACTGCGCCACCAGGGAAGCCCTTAATATTACTGTTTTAAAGATAAGAGTAATTTAATTTCAATATCAAGATGAGCAATATTTAATGAAAACACTACAAACTTCATGACTTGTTTTTTAAAAACATGATATTAGTTCTTGTATAACATGGAAGAACCAAAATTAGCTACAGTGGATATCGCTGAGGTGAACATTAGCTTGAAGAGCACACTAATGAAACATTCATGTGAAATGCAAACATTAAAAGCAGTAAATTAATTTTAGTCTGAGAAAGATTATAAGGTTCATTTATTTGTAAAAATAACAATCACGCTTTCTTACATGTTTACTTATTTTTATATGTGTCAAAAGAATCAAACTGGACTACTTCTCACACCATGTACAAAAACCTGAAACCGTAAAACTCCTAGAAGAAAATCTAAGCCAGTATGCCTCTTTGATATTGGTCTTAGCAATACATTTTTTGATATGTCTCCTCAGGCAAGGGAAGCAAAAGCAAAAATAAACAAATGAGACCTACTCAAACTTAAAAGCTCTTGCACAGCAAAGGAAACCATCAACAAATGAGAAGGCAGCCTACCAAATTGGAGAAGATATTTGTAAATGATGTGTCTGATAAGGGGTTAAATACACAAAATTGTACAAAGAACTCAGACAACTCAAACTTCCTCTCTCCAAGCACCCCCTCAGTCATGCTCCCAAGTCCTTTGTATGTAATCTCTAAAACAGTATTCTTCACTTTATGTTTGTCTCTTCTAGCAGTCTTTAAGGGCAGGCACAATGTCAGCAAGCTCCAGAGCCTGGCATATTAATTAAAGTACTGAATACAAGGGCTTCCCTGGTGGCGCAGTGGTTGAGAATCTGCCTGCCAATGCAGGGGACACGGGTTCGAGCCCTGGTCTGGGAAGATCTCACATGTAGTGGAGCAACTAGGCCCGTGAGCCACAACTACTGAGCCTGCGCGTCTGGAGCCTGTGCTCCGCAACAAGAGAGGCCGCGATAGTGAGAGGCCCGCGCACTGCGATGAAGAGTGGCCCCCGCTTGCTGCAACTAGAGACAGCCCTCACACAGAAACGAAGACCCAACACAGCCAAAAATAAATAAATAAAATACTGAATACATAACTACTTTTTATATGTCTTTTATCTAACTCTTTACCATTTAACAAGAGGTATCACATATTTTTACTTATCCTGCAAGGTGGGGAAGGCTAGCATTATCTCCATTTCTCCAAGTGACAAACTGAAACTCAGAAAGATTTAGTGAATTGCTCAGGGTGAAAGAACTAATAGATGGCAAAGGTGGAATTGAATTCTTGCTTATGACTCCCTGCAAGGGCTTTTCTAAAACATCACTTTGCGGTTTTTACCTTAGCTCTCCCATTAGAAATTTGGGGCTGGGTACAATTAAGAAATATTTAGTTCTCACGCATTTTGCGTACACAGCAGGGCTTGTTGAATTAATATACGAATAAATGTATTTTAAAAGATGTAATTGTTAATTAACATTTTGCACCGTCTTTTTTCTAACACTATGTGAGCTGGGCCTTACTTTCCTGACCTATAAAAGAAATGGCCACATGCTGCATCAGACTTGCTCATCTACATGCTATTAAAAATTTGTCAGACTTCACCCCAAACTATTTAATCAGCATCTCTGAGGGCAGGACTGGAGAATGTAGGTTAAATGTGTTCCCCACACCATCCTTGCAGCCTCTCCAGTTTTTGAACCCCTAGACTATACGATTTCTAAGTTTCCCTCTAGCTCTGACATTCCATACTCCTTTCAAGAAAAAATATCCATCCCCGGTATACCCTAAAATGCAAAACACCTGAAATCACTCTTTACTCACAAAGAACAATACTTTACAAACAACAATAATATGCCATTTATGTTATACAGGCCACTAAACTAAGTCTGATAATTATCCAATAAAAACAAACAATTCACTAGGAATAAAGGATGCACTCGTGTGTCACATACTACATTCACTTTCCAAGTTTTCTTGTATTATTTTTCAGGTCGGTCACAGTTACCTCCACTACTCTAAGGGAATGGAGGAATGGATCTAAACGTTTATGTAAAGCCCATGATGCATCAGGTACTCTGCTATGCATGTGATATACACTGACCCATTCAATCCTCACAACAGATACAGAAACTGAGACTCAAAGAGAAGAGGTAACAGTAAGTTATGGAGCAAGATTCTGAACCAAGCTGTGTGATCCTGTCTTTTCCTTCTTGTCTAATCACCCAACTACCAGTATTAAAGGCTGCATAAGTCATTTGACACACATGGATAAATGAAGAAGAATTTTAAAAATCTATAAATTATGAAAGCCTGCCAACAGAAGTATTGTACAGTAAAAGTTAATGAGGGACTCATATTACTCAAGAAAACTCTGAGAAGCAATTCAGCACAGTGGTTAAGACCATTAGCTCTTGAGCCAAACTGGGTTGGAATCCCAGTTCTACTGCTCATCAGCCCTGTGACCTTGTACAAGTTACTTAATGTCTCTACACCTAAGTTGCTTCCTCTGTAAAATGTAAATAAAAGAGTCCGCCTCTTCGAATGGTTGTGAGGATTGAATGAGGTCATAAATGTAAATAAAGAACTTAGAATAGTAACTGACACACAGTTAAGGACTCAAATGTTCACTGTTAATATTACCATTATTCACGATTATTTATAGATTGTGCCTTTTTTTTTTTTTTGGTTGTTGAAGTATGTAACATTACTGATTTATACCCAATCATGTCTCTTACATCTGCTGAGGTAGATTAGCTGGCATCCTGAATTCAAAAAAGCGGGAGAGCTAACTTCAAAGAGCAGGCTGGTCTCTGGAGTCAGACCGAGGCAGGTTCAGCTCTTGACTCTGCCACGTAATAGTTCTGTGAACTATTTCTCTCCCTAAGCCTTAAACCCTCCATTTGTAAAATGAAAATGAAAAATAACAAGGGTTGTGATGAGGGCTAAATAAATGGAAAACATATAACAGAGTGCCTGGCCCACATGAAATGTTCAATAAATGTTAGTTGCTGTTATTATTGGGAACAAGCAGGTACAGCAACAGCTAGGATGTAGCCCTATTTCTCCATCAGATTTTTTTGTTTTCTCAGACCAATCAGTGCTTGTATTTACTCAACCCCGTCTAACAAGTTTTTCAACTCAATTCAACAAACAGACATTAACTCCATCATATGGAGAAATTCATTCTCATGGGAGTACGAGTGTAGAAATAGATTTTCTAGTGGTGGGGACACTAAAGCTGGTGCATGTCCCCTCTCCCTGGAATGCCCTACAGCCAACCTCCTTTCAACTCATCTTTTAAGGCTTAATTTCAGTGTCATCTCTTCTGGGAAGTCTCCTCTGATGCCTTCAACTGAAGTGAGTACCCTTCCTCTGGGCTCTCTATTACAGCATCTACCATTCCAAATGTTGTCATTGGCTTGTCATCCTCGGTGAACTATGCATTCTTTAAAAGGAGACTGCAGTATACTCACTTTAGTATATTCCCAGTGTCCAGTACCTATCAGGCACTCAATAAATGTTTATTGAATGAATAAGTAAAGTTTCAACAAGCAGAGGATAGTCTGGGACAGCGGTCCCCAACCTTTTTGGCACCAGGGCCTGTTTTCGTGGAAGATAATTTTTCCACATACGGGGCGGGCGGGGTGGGGGATGGTGCAGGTGGTAATGCGAGTGATGGGGAGCAATGGGGAGCAGCAGATGAAGCTTCACTTGCTTGCCTGCCGCTCACCTCCTGCTGGGCAGTCTGGTTCATAACAGGCCTTGGACTGATACCGGTCCGTGGCCTGGGGGTTGGGGACCCTGGGTCTGGGACATTCTAAACAGGGTAATAACATAAAAAATGACAAGGAAGTGGGAAAGCACAGGACCTGTGTGAGATTAGTGACTGGTCTTGGCCCAGATGGAGAAGTACTTCATGAAGAGATAAGGAGATGAGTATAGTGAGCAATGGCTAGAAAGTAAGGCCGATTGTAGAAGGCCATCTTCCAAAGTCTACCTACAACATGTCAGAAATTTAACAAATACAATCATACAAATTTCAAGTAATAGAATAAAGGATTCAATCACTGCTGAATCAGGATCATTTATGTATTCCACTACAGGATAATTCCATGACCTTGCTTTGCCTGGTAGAGTCCCAGTTCACAGCTGTTGTCCCAACTTAGTAATGAATAATATCATTTTCATTCTCTAAAGTGTCTCTATTTGGATGATAAATTATAGTCATTCTAACTAAGGGAGAGATCTGGACTCCTACTTCAGGTTATATAACCAGCTAAAATAAAAGTCTGTCAGCTTCTAAATCTACAAAGATTTGGAAGGAAAAAAATGTTAGTAAATAGAGATAAATTTAACAAACAACTGCAGTAATCACATAAAAACATTATCTGACATAGCATGTTATGTAAAGAAAAAAAGCTGCACTTTAGCTAAAGTAGTTAACTTATTGTCAGTTTTCCTTTTGCATTTCTTTTTGCTTTATATTCATAATTGGATCACTCTTTTAATTGAGTTCCTTGCTTCTGATTAACAAAATGGAAGAAAATGTATTATAAATCTTCTGCACAAAATTATTCTAGAGTTCTTTGTTACCAATATGCTATACAAATCTTTCATGTCAATAAGATTACACTGGAAAACAAATAACTTTATTGGAGAAATCTTTTAAGTAAAAGCCTGAAGATAGGACTGTACAGATTCTTATTAAATATCTATTTTTCATCCTCTTTCTGAGTAACCAGACCTTGGTTTCTTGGGGGGAAATATGCTCAATTAAAAGTACTCATCTCCTCAGAGATACAAACAGCCATGTGACCCAATTCTGGCCAATGAGTTATAAGTGGAAGTATTTGGTAGGCCTTGAGGAAAAATAATTGTCCTCTTGTTAAAAAAAAGAAAGACAGCTGGCTCATGCTCTCTGCCTTTCCCCTTCTTCCTGCTGGATGCAGACTTTATATAATGACTTGGAGCAGGGAGCCTGCGACCATGAGAACCAGTCACACTCGAGACAAGTTTATATATTTGCAAAACTCATCAAACTATACAGTTAAGATGGGTACATTTTACTGTATGGCAAATTATACCTTAAAATACGTTTTTAAAAAGATCAGTTGCTGGACTAGACCATAATATTTAAACATATATTATGATCAACCTGTAGACCTTTTAAAAAATAGGAGCACACTAAATATTTGTTAGTTTCACTTAAATTATTTGCTAGTTCTATGGCTATTAGAACAATATAAAGTACCTGCTGGAGGAGAAAAACACACACCACAGCTGAAAAGACAAATACCCACTTACGCAGTATTTGTATACATGTCTATAGTTCTTTTGGGAAAAGATTAAGTCAGGAAGACCTGACTCAACAGTTCTAAGAAAAAGAAACAAATAATTTGCTAAGAAATAATAATATACTTTTTCCTTTTTAACTTGTTGTAAAAATCTGTAAAGAAATTTTCAGTATAGAAACTTAGTGATACCATCAGTTTTTAGCTAAAAAACAAAGAAAACAATGTGCATGTAGAAATACTGTGGACCCTTGATTAAAACATTTATAGAAGATATTAGTGATAAAATTAAATCAAAATAACAGATAGTCTAAACCAGTGTTTCACAAACCATGTTTTGGAGGAAAAAAGAGACCTGAGCATATTTCATGAAAAATGGGTATGATGTTAACTGAATTTAGGTGATGATAGTTTGAACAAGATCAAACAAGTTTCTTTACTTCTTTCTCATAGGCTTTAATGTGATAATGTGTACTGTGAATTCCCAAAAGAGGTTATACGGAATGCAGTGTATCCCAAACTTATTTCAGTCCGAGCATCTCACAGGACTTGGCTAAGAGAGAGTCACACTTCAGGAAACACTCTTGGAGGATGACAGCACAAGCCAAATCAAATGGGGTTTTTCCTACATATTTTGTTTTCATATCTCTGTTGGAGAAGGTAATTATGCATTTTATTTAAAATATCTCCTTTAAAAATACAAAACAGAATCTAAATTGTTAGTAAATTCTGACTTAACAAGGAAAAATGAATATTGCTCAGGTTTTCAGACTTACAAAATAACAAAGTATTATGTAGAGCTGGTCCCCAAGCAGAACTGGCTCCACCTTTCAAGAACAATCAGCTACTAAAATCTGTGGGGTACATGCAACCAATTATGAGTCCTTTCTTTAGTGTAAAGAGACTTAGAATTTAGTCCTGGGCTCTCATGTATAATAATCATGCTACTTTGAAACGATAAAAGCTCAATTTCTTTAACTATAAAGTACTGTAAAGCATAAAGTTGGACTACATAAGCTCTATGAAATTTTTTAGCTCTAAATACTTTATTTTCCAACTTACTACATTTGATATTTCTTAAGCAAAGTAAAAGAGTATTTTGTTACAATATAACTTACGTATTTTCAAAATCATCATGAAGTGTGAATTCTGTTTGTACAACATCTCCCTTATATTTATCACTTAAAACTTTAAATGTGAAATTCATTTTGGTAAAAAGCAAAATTTTATGTCCCTCTACTGTCTGAAATATAACTATATTTTAAATACATCTACGTCTATGAACTCGGGGGAGAGGGACAATGGACCACAGCTTAACAAAGTTTGGAATGTCTAAAAGCAGAGGATTATCATTCAGCCAGAAGCAAAGCAGATGAACATGCTGTGACTTTTCAACTGTTAACTATTTTCAAAAGCAAAGTTTAGCTTTAATATCATGAGAAAACAATGTTCCAGTGGACAAGTAAAAGGTGTAGTAGTTTTACAAATTTTCTTCAAGAAATTTTAATTACTTACCTGTAATGGACCCAAGATAGAGCTTGTTGTATACATAAAAAAGAGACGAAGATAACTCAGAACGTTGGCAAATGCAAAAAGCCCTTCTGCCACCAGTGTAGGATGGAATGCATCCCAGTCCTTCCGATCAGCAAAATCATGAAACTAAGGTTAGGGAAAAAAAAGCCAAAGATAAAACAGCTCTCTCAAGTTAGGAAAATAAAAAACAAATATTCTGACTGTTGAAAGAAAACTATTTTATATATCCTTGTGGGGGAACTCCATTTATGTTTTATAAAGTTCTCTTCTTTTAACAGAAATAACATTGTTTTAAATAAGTAAAAGATTTCTACATATGTGGGGCAATATCACTTGTGCTATATAAAGAGGTTTTCTCAGAAATTCCTATGTTTTAAAAAACTAATGTTTTAAAAACTTTCATTAGACTTTTTATGAATGAAATTTCTGCTAGTTTTTCTTAAATTCCACAACACAAACTTTAAGAATGTGTGCTGTCAATTAATTAGCTATCACATTAAATTAACCTAGCCCTTTGACTCAGGATTCTACAATGGCCCATATATGCTTTCTCCCTTCTAAATAACAAGAAAAAAAAGAGTGTATTATTATACTTTAGACATAGAATGACCACATGTTCCAATTGCCTGGGACAGTCCCAGATTACATACCAGTTTTCCTGGCATAATTATTAATTGTGCCCCCTTTCACTTGTAAAGTGTCTTGGTCTGAATAATAAACTATATGGACACCCTGCTTCTAGAACTAAAGAGACCAGTCTAAAAAAACCAATGACCATCAACCTTTCTATCAAACCATCTATCTATATATGATCTTTTTATTTTCTTAATAACTTCACAACTCTGGTCATGGAACATACCTAATAAACATGTTTGGTACTACTGATCAATTACATGAATAGAGGTTTTTAATAAAGTGATATAAGATAACCAGTTTGCTTTCTCTATAGTCTATCAATCAGTCAAAACCCAAAAAATATTATATAAATAGTTCCTTGAATGTGACGCCTCAGAATTCTAAACTCAGGTGTAAACAAAGATAGTTAACATAATCTCCATTACCTTTCCTGGGCTTTTAATAAATCTTTATAAAAGTAACATTATAAGATGTCTATAAGGTTAGATTTTTGTCAAATTTTAAATTTAAAAATATAGGAATCAGAAAATAACTAAATTTACATAACTTTTTAAGCTGTGTAAGATAATAGTCATGATTTGGAATGTGTAAAACACTATATAATGAGTTCCATTCAGATAAACTTTTTCCTGATAGATATAAAGATATCTAACACTAATCAATTTAAGTAACTTTGTGTTACTTAGGTTAATGAGGTAATATATAGGTTAATGAGGTAAGTGAACCTAGCTCAGATTTAAGGAATTGGCATTTGGTAGAAAGAAAATGCCTAGACAGACCTGGATTTAAATCCAGTCTTGGTTTCTTACTGTGTGGTCTTGGACAAGTTATTTATTATCTCTGAGCTTCCTTTTCCTTATTTGCAAAATGGGGATAAGGACATCTGTCTCATAGAATCCCTGTGAGAATAAAATGAGATAAAGTATAGCAAGTATCAACCATGGTGCCTGGCATAAAATAGGTAACGAACATTTAATGGTAATTAACACCCTTGAAGCTATTAGAAACGAAGGAAACAATGTGTACTATTCCCTTGCACAAGGATAGGTTTAGAATGAAAACACATCAGACACAGATTTGGGCCAAAATAACTCTGAGATACATAGCTAAATATCCTGGGTTTTTCCTAAATAAATTTCACTTGTGCCTCCAGTTGACATAGTTAATAGTCACCTTGTTGTGAGCAACCACTTTGAGGGCAAAGGTTGCCAAATAAAGTGAATTCATGACAAAACTGAGTTGATTACGTGATTCTTCTAAAAAGTCTTCCAACCCTTCATACCACAGTCTTTTAATGTCTGACCAAATCATCCCTAAAAAAGGAAGAAAAAAAATCAGATAATGCTCTCTTCATTCAATAATAAACTAAAAAATACCTTAAGACTCAAAGTACTAAATAAACAACACCTGTCAGTTGTAGCCTCATTCAGAAGAAAAAAATAACATTCAGTAAAATGTTCTTAAAATATGAAAGAAAATAACCTTAAGTTTCATATGACAATATCTTTCCCAGAGAGGGATTTTAATAAATGATGTGAAACAAGCATAAGAAAGCAAATTGATGTTAAATACAAAACCCCCAAAAGGCTCAGTTCCTGATTCTTTTCTCTGTCTACACTCACTCCTATAGTGACCTCATCCAGTCTAGTCTAACGGCTTTAAATACCATCTATGTGATAGACTTTCAAGTTTTTATCTCTGAACTCAACCTGTATTTACATAATAATAAATATCTCTAAACTTCTTTCCTAAACTTAACTTGTATAGGTACTTGGCTACTCTACATCTCAAACTGGATGTCCTAACATGTCCAAACTGAACTCCTAATCTCTGCACCCAAATTCACTGCTCTTGAAGACTTCCCCATCTCACTTAATGGCAACCCCATCCTAGCTGCTCACTCTCAATGTCCTTGAATCATCCTTGACTGATATTCTTTTAAATCACACATTCAATGCAGTAGTAAGTCCTGCTGGCTTTACTTTCAAAATATAGTTAGGATCTAACCTTTCTCACCACTATTTCAACTTCAAGCCACTATCTTCTCTGGCCTGAATTACTGAAATAGCCTAGTCTCCCTGCTTCTACCCTGTTCTCCCTAAAATCTATTCTCAACATGACAATCAGAGTAATACTTTTAAAATGCAAGTGTTACTTCTCTCCTCAAAACACTGTAGTAACTCCCAGAGGAGAAAGAATTAACTGCAGGACAGAACTCTTTTCCCATGGGAAGAAAATCTCATGTTATCATCTATTTAAGTGTCGCCTTGGAAACATACTACATTAAGAAAAATATGGAAGGTCAGCTGTGTTCAAGATTGTTATAAAAACAACCACTGATTGGGAAACTGCATCTGGACTGGAGGACTATGAGTGGACTCATAGACCCTAAAAGTATACCCAACCAGGACTATATAAAAACATGTTGAGAAGCACAGGCCTCAGCTTCTCTGTGTGATGTCTCTCTTAATGTAAAGTGTGCACGTAGTGGGAGCTACATTCTGAGGCTTTCTAAGATATTCTGCTGGATTTATAAGAAATCCTGGTAGATTTCAGGCTTCTTTGGCTGGGGTAGCCCACCCCATGAATATGGCCTCATTCCACACAACTGAGTGTGCCCCTGTGGGGCTGGGAAGCAGCCCCGTCTTTTGTAAAAACTGCCAATAAAGATATATTTGAAGCTGTCACGCTGACATGCTCTATTTCCTGTCTTCTATCTTCCAAAGGTAAGTAAATCTGGTGCCAGGTTTTTGCCTATCGTGTCCGGCGAGTGCGAATGTTAATGAGAACCTAAGACTACCGCTGCTGACTGCAGAGTAGGCATTGCACCTTCCCTTACAGCTCATTTTATTCAGAGTCAAAACCAAATTCCCTACAATGGTCTACAAGGCCCTACATTACCTCTCCTCTCTGATCTCCTCTCCTATCAATCTTTCCCTCCACTACTGGCCTCCTTGCTGTTCTCTGAACACACAAGACTCCTGCCTTAGGGCCTTTACATGGGCTCTTCCCTCTGGCTGGCAGCTCCTCACCTAGACATCCATTTGGCTAACTCCCTCCCTTTGCATCTTCGCTCACCACCTACTCTGATCATCCTATTTAAAATTGCAAACCCTGTGCCCCTCACTCCCAATCCCCCAACTCTTCTATCTTTTCCCTTAGTACTTATCACTTTTAAACAATGGATATAGTTTACTTATTATGTCTATTATTAACTGACTACCTTCCTCCCACTTCGGGTAAACTCTTCAAGGGTAAGAATCTTTGTTTTATCAACCAATGTCCTAAATAGTGGCTGATACACAGTGGGTGCTCAAAAATTTGCTCAGTGAATAAATATACATAAATAAAAACCAACCGAACCAAATAACTCCCTTCCCCTTCTTTGGCCAGAAGTTTCTCCATAGTTATATATTCCTGGGAGTAACGGAGAACAGTACTACAATCAAGAATAGCTTTATGACACATTCCTCCACTAAGGTTTTTTTTTTTTTTTTTTTTTTTTTAAAAACAGTGGGCGGGCCCCTCACTGTTGTGGCCTCTCCCGTTGCGGAAAACAGGCTCCGGACGTGCAGGCTCGGCGACCATGGCTCACGGGCCCAGCTGCTCCGCGGCATGTGGGATCTTCCCATACCGGGGCACGAACCCGTGTCACCTGCATCGGCAGGCGGACTCTCAACCACTGCGCCACCAGGGAAGCCCCACTAAGGTATTTTTAAGGAGAATGTAAAGTGACAAAAGAACAGAGTGCTACAACCTAAATATGGATGAAGATCAAGTTAAGCCAATCAGAATCATCCTCTGACTTACCAGTGTACAGAGTAAGACCCCTGGGAAACACATGAAGTATTCTCAAAATATCTGTTCGTAACATCTTAATTATACAGTACCCATATTTTATGTAGAAAAACATTTTGAAATATTTGCAGGTCTGACAGGGAAAACAGTTTTTAAAAATTCCACTTGGATGAGCTTCTATTTAAAATGAATAGATAAAAACTAACCAAAAATGTTAAACCAAATCGTTTACATTTTATTAACCCAAACACTGTAACAGTAGAACACTAAGCCAAGAAAGATGCTTACAGAAATAAGTGTTTTATTTCTGTAAAATGTAATATTATACCTAAAGGGAACGCTTGACAAAAATTACAACATGAATTGGAGAAGATTTTGATCAAGAAAGGCAGACATATGAAAGAATATTAAGTACCACTGACAGTTTCCCAGCTCCTGTGCAATATCCCACACCAAAGTGAAGCTAATACACTTGATGTATTTCACATTTCTGAGCTGGATTGGAAGAACACAATAATTTAAAACTATTATAAGCAATGCAATCACTACACAATCAATGGACTACATTTTGGGGTCCTTTTTTGTTGTTTTTTAGAATTAGTTAAGATTAGCAAACTGTAATCCCATCATTCTGGGAATTCCTCGAGGCTTGCTCCTAGGTCCTCTCTTCTTCTCATCTTATACTTTCTCAAGTGTCTCATGTGTGCCCACAGTTTCATCTACAACATATATGCAGATTATCTGCATACTGCTAACTCAAGCTTAAACTTCTTCTTGAGCTCTAGACAATGATATCCAATTGTCTGACTGACATCTCTTTTGAATTTCTCTAAGGCTTTTCAACTTCAACATACCCAAAACCACACTCAGGATCTACTCTTTCACAAACCCCCAAACTAGTACTCTTCTAGAATACTTAGTTGCTTAATAATTTCCTCCTCCCTCACTTCATATATATATATATATTTATTTATTTCCATGTCCTACTGGCTTTACTTTGTAAATATCTCTCGAATCTGTTTCCTTCTCTTTCTATGGCAACCGGCGTCAGTCCAAGGCACCATCAGCTTTCATCTACAGTACTGCAACAGGCTCCTTATCGGTCTCCCTCCACCTACTCTTGCCGCAGCCCTTCCTCCCAACCCGTTCTCTACGCTGTAGCCAGAACGATCTTTTCAACATGAAAATCTGATGATGTCACCCGCCTACTTAAAAACGCCAGTGGTTTTCCACTGCTCTTAGTATAAAGTCAAAATTACTTAATATGGCCAACAAGGCTGTCCATGGTCTAGTATAACATCCACTTCTATAGTTTCATCTCAAATCCCACTTCCCTTGTCCTCCTGCCTCCAGCCTTTACGCAGTCCCTTCTTTGCGCCATGCTCTCTCTTGCCACAGGGCCCCTGAATGTAACTTTTACATCAGCCTAGAATATTTTTCTCTCCCAATTCTCCTACAATACCTTTCTTTCACAATTCTCCAAGTGGACTCCTATTTATCCTTTAAATCTTAGCTTATTTATCACTTCTTCAAGATAGACTTTCCAACCCCCTGAGTAGGTAAAATGCCCTTATAAAATGCTTGCTCTCCTAGCTCCAAGACCTTTACTTAGTAGCACTTAGCTCATGTAATTTTTTATTTTATCTGTGTGATTTTCAAGTTATTGGGTGTTTTTCTTTTAAACAATAATTAGACCATAAGCTCCATAAGTGTTGGGCCATATCTGTTTCTGCCTGTGCTTGGACAAAGTAGGTAGACAACATTTCAAAATATACATTTCTGTAAGGGCTGTTCTATTATATTCCAATGGTAAAAAATTAAGTAAATGGATACCATTAATAGTCTGTGGATTCATCAACACATTGTTTTCTTTTTTTCTACCTTGCTTTTTATAATTTAACCCTACTTTTTTCCTGGAGGGCTAAGGAAAAGAACAGGAAACAAATGTACAGAAGCCAGGCATCATGAGTCAGAAGTCCCTGTGCTCACTGCATGAAAAAGTAAATTGAACCAAGGAGTGACTTTGAACAAGTAGGCAAATGATTCCTACACGTTTCCTTAGAGCAAGTTCAGATCTATATATTTAAGGAAGTCAGAGCGATCTAAAGACATAACAGGTTCAGAAAACATCCTTGGCAAGGTTTATTCATATCTGTTTCAAAGCAGAAGCTGTGCTGAGAAAAGAAAAATACTTCCAGGAATTTTAATGGCATAATTCATACTGCACTCTTCTACTGAGACAGAATATGTTTAGAAAATTAATAATATTGTGTGTGTGTGTGTGTGTGTGTGTGTGTGTGTGTGTGTGTGTTCAGGGCCACTGTGATTAGAAAAGAGTAGCCACAGTTTTACCATTTGTTGTGAAATTCAGTGAAAGCAGCAATATTTATGCTATCCAAGGAGTGGTATGACTCTCTGACTTCAGTGAGTTTTTACTCACTGCTAAGAAATATAAACTTTACTTCTTATACAGACTTGGCTACAGACGTTCATTTTACAAAACAAAGAAAATATTTTTTCTCTCTCACTACTATTTAAACAATAGGTTATAGATAAATGATATAAATTTTCCCTTTTTTATGACTAAGGTATATATTACAATCTTTCAGAAGTAGTTTAAATAAAGGGGAAAAGTGCTTCTAAGAGATACCTTTCAGCCTAACCTACCCAATTAAAAATATAAACAAATTTCACATTGAAAAGATCTACAACAATGCAATTTGGAGTCAAATATGATAAAGTATAAATTATTTCCTAAATTAAAATATTAAATTTTAGATAAGATAGTGGAAATATCAGAAACATGAAAATATTAACAAGAAGAAATTATTTAATTCTCTTTAGCCTAAAGTTCAAATGTGTATTATTTTTACTGTATCTACCTAATTTTAAACATTAATGCATAACTCTGATGTAAGATCAAGTTACTTGAAATGAACTGATTTCCAAATAAAAATAAAAATCCCAAAATACACTTTTATATCTGAAGAACTAAAAGTGAGCACTGTACATTAACTCTTCTTAAATTATTTAATAACTGAAACAGTCAAGAACATATTAATCAATCAGTGCTTCATAACATAGAAAAGAATAAATTTCAGTATTCCTTTTACTCTATAGCAAATAGTAAAGAAAAAGAAAAGGTGGGAAATGCTGAGGTTAAAAACAAGGTTGAAGATCCAGAGGGAAATAATAAAGGGGATGTCATTAAAAGAGCATAAATAGACAATGTAATTATACCTCAACTTCCCTCCTCCTCCCACCTCTCCCAAAAAGGGCAAGGGCAGTAAAAACTGCAGAAGATCATTAAAATATTTATGATACATCATAATACTTATTAAAAAAAACAATTTTTAGAAAATAAAATGTCTTTTTTTTCTTTTAAACTGTCATTTCTAAAGAGATCTGGCTGCCATTACAAAGAACTGATTTATAGAGTGAGTCACCAGGGAATGTTTTATCTATATAAGGTAATATGTAACTATAAAAGTTCATAGGTTCTTAAAAGAAAAGCTAATGATATAATAAAACAAAATAGTTAACTCTTAAAATGCAACCGAGTACAAAATGTATCATTACATTTCAAAATACCTAAGAAAATGTTCATATTCTTATAACAAGAAAAATTCATCAGCAAAATTTGTTTTTCTGTTTTAACAATCATGAACAATTTTAGCAACTGACAAAGAATTTTTAACTTCCATGTAATTAAGTAATATTAAGTAAGAGATCTGCTTCCTTATCATCAAGTTCAAGAACATTTATCTTTTAAAAAAAATGTTAGTTACGTCTTCAATGATCATGGAAGCATTCAAATTCTTCCTGTATAAACAGTGTAAAATTACAAGTTGAAGGCAGCTTATAATGCCACCAAGCAAGGGAGAATTAATGGGCTAAATAAAGGCAGAACTTTTTAAACTAACTTGATACTTACCAATAATCCACAGTATAAGAAGATAGTCTATTCTTTCAAGGGCTGGCCCCATTGTGTTTTTCTTATCTTCATTGTAGACAAGAGAGTATAGGTTTAATAATAGCAGAAATGTAAAATATGATGCTCCATGAATAATAAATTTCATAAAAGGTGTGTGAATAATTCTGCCAAACTGAGATTTGGGAGCTATCAAATAACAAAGTGACAAAACTGGCCAAAACATGCCAACTGTCAACACAGTCATTATCTTCTTACAGGTAGGCTTACGTCGGTAACCTGACATCTGTCCAAACCAAACAGTGTTCAGGAACTGCTGACAGTTGGACTGGGAGACAAACTGAAAACGAAGCACACACATATAAAAAAAGTAAAATATAACTTGTAAATACGATCTGATAGTACTATTATTTAATTGATAGTCAAAGTTTTAATAATAGTTTGAAATCAATTCTATACAGTCCAGTTCTTTTTGTTTTGTTTTGTTTTCTTACGTGTAATAAAAGAGTGTGGTGGTTAAGAGCATAGACTCTGGAGCCAGATTACCTAGATTCAAATCCAGGCTCTGCCACTTACTTACTAAATGACCTTGAGCAAGTTTTTAAATCTCTCTAAGCCTCAAATTCCCCATCTATAAAATGGGGATAATAGTATCTAGTCATACACTTGTTATGAGGATTAAATGTAAAGCTCTTAGAATAGTGCCTGGTCATAGCATGCACTATATAAATATTAGTGATTATTACTAGCCTACTCAGCCATTTCAAAACGTTTAACTTATAAAGACTCATAACAGTTTTTATGAAATTTCAAAATTAACAAGCACAATCCACAGAAAGAGACTTCAGCCTAGGAAAACTGATGATTTCAGTTACAAGAAACCAACATGTCAAGAAAGCAAAGCAATTAAAGTCTAAACATCAGATATTTCTATGCTCCACGAAAACACCGAGAATTTCTTAAAATGTATTAAAGATACTCTTAAATCTTCTTAAAATGGAATTCTATGTGAGAAGAAAAGGAAAAATATTCCCAAATAAGAGGAAAATTCTAGTTCAAGTATAGAAATGAATTTACCACAGTTTACGAAGCTTTTTAGTTTACAAAATTCAGAAGCAATATTTTCCCAATATAATGCTCACGTTGTGAAGTATAAGTTAAGGATTCTGATAACTCTGGACACAATAACGTAATCAGGATTGAAATCACCAAAGTAAAGCACAAGTGATCATAATATCATTCAGATATTAAATAATATTTGGTCAATGTCCTGTTTTAAAATGATTTATCCCAAGATAGAATATAATCTATAGAACGCAACACCGTAGTTTAAAAAAGTAGACAGAGTTTTGTTGTTGTTTATTGTACTTATCAAGAAATTTCCTAATATATCAATACTATACCTATTTTTGGCAGTTAAGTCTTCATTATTTATCCTTCTGCTTAGATTCCAGTGTTGTTAGGGAATCGTAATTTGTCCCTCAAGAGGAAATATCAGGGAGGAAAATAGCTTTTCTTCCCACCAACTACCCAGTTTAGTAGCATCCCAAACTTAGTGGTTTCATCCTTCCCCCGAGTATCAAAGCAATCTCAGGCGTGACTGCTGCCCTTGCCATTCCACTATATAATGATGATTTAATTAACAGTAATGTTAAATATGTAATTGGAAGGACAAATTTTCAATTGGAGATGTTCTAAGTCTGTGGTGGTTTTAAAACATAGACACAAATTCTTTGATACTCCTCTCATCAATAGGTGGGCTACCAATATTACCTACCCATCAATTCAACAATCTTATAATTGCTTTAACCAGTAGATTCTGGAAGAAGTGACGCTATGTGACTTCTGAAGGTAGGTCTTAAAAGGCCATTCAGCTTCCACCTTATTTGAGAAACACTTGCTCTTGGAGCCAAAAGCTGGCAGGTAAAAAGTCCTACTACCCTGAAGCCACCATGCTATGAAGAAGACCAGGCTACATGTAGGCACTCCGGTCAGCCCTCAGAGGCTACTCAGACCATCCCCCTGCAGCCAGCCCACCGCGAGAGCCATGCCCCTCCAAGGTTCCAGTCCTAGGTTCTTAGGAGACCCACCCTCTATGGACCCACCCACCTGAGCGCCCAGCCCACTCAGAGCTCCCTGTTTGAATCCTCAGCTGCTGCTCAGGCACCAGACATATGAGTGAAGAAGCCTCTCGAATGACTGTAGCCCCCCATCATTTGAGCTATCTCCAGCTGAGTCCTTGACATGGAGAAGCAGAGACAAATCAGCCTTGCTGTGTCCTTTCCTAATTCTTGACCTAAAGAACCCAAGAGCATAATAAAATGATCATGAAATTACTACAAAATGACCATGAAATATTGTTTTATGCCACTAAGTATCACAGTAGTTTGTTATTCAGGATGTATGACCTGAACAAAGTCTACCAACTATTTGGAAAAATATTATCTTCCCCTTTGATTATTTTTAGAAATCTAGTTTAAAAAACTAATTTACATTTTCATTAATTCTTAAAATTACAGAGTATCTTCCTTCCAACTAAAAATATTACCACTACTTCTTTTTCCTTTTCTCTACTCTTCTTTAGAATGGAACACCTGGTTATCCTCTGTGAGTTCTTCAGGGAAACACATATATATATCATTAGGAAACTGCCTCTTAGTTTTTTCTTCCCTTACCAGGATAATCTCGGTTCTTTCCACCTTTCTTTGAGGTTCTTTTGCCAAGCACTTAAGTTGGTTTTGTATCTTTGTTATATCTTCATTCTATCATTTTCTAGTATTTTGTGTCTATTTTAGGTTGTGCAACACATAAGTAAATAAATTAACATTAGATCCAGTCAAAATGTATGTTAGGGGAAGATTACATCAGGGTTCCTATTTTCTCTGTTTCTACATATACATATTAGCATTTATTTCCTTTTAAAGCCACATAGGTATGTTGCTGATTTATAATCTTACAGCTACACTGATCCAAATTCTTGTACTTAATTTTTTTTCCTATAAATGGTCTACCTTAAGCAAGAACGCTGGAGTACTAGAAAAATTATAGGATTTGAAGCCAGAGATCTAGATAAGAAATATAATATTTAGGTTATTTTATTTTATTATTTGTTTAACATCTTTATTGGAGTATAATTGCTTTACAATGGTGTGTTAGCTTCTGCTTTATAATCTAGGTAATTTTAAAGTAAACATCTTATAATTCCTTTATCAATCTCCTGAGTCACAAAGCTATTGGGAGACTCAAACTGTCAACCAAGATAATCAAAAACTCTGTCCCGGGCTTCCCTGGTGGCACAGTGGTTGAGAGTCCGCCTGCCGATGCAGGGGACACGGGTTCGTGCCCCAGTTCAGGAAGATCCCACATGCCGCGGAGCGGCTGGGCCCGTGAGCCATGGCCGCTGAGCCTGGGCGTCCGGAGCCTGTGCTCCGCAATGGGAGAGGCCACAACAGTGAGAGGCCCACATACCGGTTAAAAAAAAAAACAAAAACAAAAAACAGAAAAAAACTCTGTCCCTAGCACCAAAGGTCCTATATCTTGCCTTCTATCATAATCTGTTTGGGGCCCCATTTTTATATTAATATAAATTTGATAAGCAAGTTTTATTCCAATATCTATGTTGATAGTAAGAATAATGGGTCTTAGAAGAAATACCTTAAAAGTACCATTTACCAACACCCTCTACTGAACATCATTATCTACATATAAATATCCAGGTCTAATAAATTATCTCAAAAAATGAAGTTAAAAATGCATACCTTCCTTCTTCAAGTTCCTGAATCATGTGCATGTGAGTGTATGGGGAGTAGAAATAGGTATTTCCCTTAATAGGAAGGGATTATGCCAGAGAGCCAGATTCAACTTAGTTATCATAGCATACGTCTCTCCACCTTTGGGTTTCACAATGAATTAACAAATAAGAATAAGGAACATAATATCTGATATTTTACTTTTAAACAGAAAGGCCCTATTACTATAGAAAGGACTACTTATAAGCGATCAATAATACAAACCCATGACAGACAAAACACAAGATAGAAACTTCATTAGGAAGGCATTTACTCTACAGAATCTTACCTGCATAGCTACTATATAGCAAAAACATTACATTAACATCCATATTATTAATGTTAATTGTTAAAAATAATAGCAACTACCATTTATTGAGTACTTGCTTAATGCTTATACTCATTGTACTAAACTCTAAATATATATATATCTTTAATTAATTCTTAAAACTAAAGCTCAGGCAGATTCAATAACTTTCCCACGGACACACAGTTTTTATGAAGCAGAACTAGGATCTCAACCTAGATGTATTGCTCCAAAGCCTTTGTTCTGAGCCACCAGACTGCTGTGGAGGAAATAATTTAAATATATCACAGAAAACCTCATACCTCCTTTTGGTTATATTTGATAGCAAGTTTTAGACGACTTAAATTCATTCTTTCTTCTAGTAGTCCCCGTTTGTCAAGAGGCTCATCACTAGATGTATGGTTTAGGATAACTTCTAATTCGCGAGAATTCCGGGCTTGTGCAAGTAAATCTTTAGCAAACATTTTACATTGCCGGGCTAGCTCCTCATAGTCATTCCTGCAAAGTACAACAGTCTATTATTAGAAATGTCACTTCCATCTTCTAATTAAGCTGTTTTCACTAGAACATTTTTTACTCAGTAACATTTTAATTCTGATACTGCTACACAACATCTTTTGTGCTGACAGTCAAAGGAACCTACTGGTGCATAAATTCTCCATAGCTTTGGGGAAAATTGTAACACAATTATGTTCTCTGTGTTCACACTGATAATCTTAGGTAAGCACAATGTTTTCTTACATATACTGATATTCCTAGAAGTTCTGATAATATTTGCCAACCAGCTCTTCACTTAACTCATTTGCCCTCATTCTATAATAGTTTTGTATAAAGCTTCCTTTTATATTATTTATCTAAACAGTAGATAGTAATATCTTGATGCTATCCAATAAATATTATTATATAATTTTTAACTGGAAGTTTTTTCAAGGATAGTCTACAACATGTTTATGCTACTTCTGATATTAAAATAGTATTGTTTCATTTTTAAAGTGCTCATTTGAACAAAATTCAAGTTAGAAAGAAAACTACTGAAACACACCTAGTACAGAATTCTCTTTCAGAATCACTATTCCTTGAAAGTTAGGACTTACCTGCTCATTAAAGGCAAGCCTAAATCACTTCTGAGAAACTAAGAAGTTTTAGTAGATAATCCTTTTTAAAATATCAATTACATTAAGCTTATGCCTGAGTGGAACAACTTAAGAATAAAGTTAGAAATAAATAATTATGAATTAATTGGGGTTAGATTTCAGAAAATAATTTTTCATTCAGTTTTTTTAAAGGGAAAGGAAGGGAAAATAGGGAGATTTCCCATTGATTAATTTTTTTTTTCCAATGGGATTTTCCATGAACTGGCTGCATAAAATTATAACTCAAGGAATTAAAAAGTTTTCCTCACCAGCTAACATTTTTTCATCCATTCTTGCCACTTACTATGTAACCAAAATTACCTAAGAATAAGTAGTTGAATTTCTTTAAAAAAAAAAATTATTTATTTATTTATTTATCTTTGGCTGCGTTGCTGCATACAGGCTTTCTCTAGTTGTGGTGAGCGGGGGCTACTCTTCGTTGCATTGCGCGGGCTTCTCACTGTGGTGGCTTCTCTTGTTGCGGAGCACGGGCTCTAGGCACGAGGGCTTCAGTAGTTGTGGTGCACAGGCTTAGCTGCTCCGCAGCATGTGGGATCTTCCCAGACCAGGGATCGAAACCGTGTCCCCTGCATTGGCAGGTGGATTCTTAACCAATGCGCCACCAGGGAAGCCCAGTAGTTGAATTTCTTTAACAAACAACGTATTACCTACTTCTTAGTCTAGGAATCTAGTTGCAGTCTAATCAATTTTATGTCTACATGCTATGTTTCTCCTACTAGAAAATCTCACCAAACAGTGAAAAGGGACAAAGTCTGGGTGTGTGGAATGTCCCTGACATACAAAAAGCATTCTATATGCTTCTGAAAGTTATGAAGGATCGGGCTCCAAGGATGATTACAGAATCTAGGAATGAAGGGAGTAGGACAGAGAGCAGTTATAAATAAGTTTTTTCTTGCTTAAGGCTACCATTCCCACTACTCTTCACACTGCCTTAGAATGCCTCCGGCAATGCTGAACAAAGTAGGGATTTAAGGGTGGTGGAAGAGTGGAAGAAGGAAGATGGGGAAGGAGTGACGTAAGTGGTACTGGGGTCTATTCCACTGAGGGAAAAGGAAAATCCCAAGTATGTGGCAGCAAGGTTTGGTCATTTTGGATCAAACGTAGATAAATAAATGATAATTTGGCCTATGAAAAAACTCAGGCTGAAAATATTCTGGAAAACAAAGAGATAATTTACAATTTCCAGGGCTTCCCTGGTGGCGCAGTGGTTAATAATCCGCCTGCCAATGCAGGGGACATGGGTTCGAACCCTGGTCCGGGAAGATCCCAAATGCCGTGGAGCAACTAAACCCGTGTGGCACAACTACTGAGCCTGCACTCTAGAGCCTGTGAGCCACAACTACCGAGCCCGTGTGCTGCAACTACTGAAGCTCATGCACCTAGAGCCGATGCTCCGCAACAAGAGAAGCCACTGCATTGCAATGAAGAGTAGCCTCCGCTCACCACAACTAGAGAAAGCCTGTGCACAGCAACGAAGACCCAACACAGCCAAAAGTAAATAAATAAAATAAATTTTTAAAAAAAATTTACAATTTCCATTCATTCCCACCTGAATTCCACCTCCACAAGGCTTAGTTCTTTTAAATCAGCACTAAGTTCAAATGCTCGCAGAATTGGATCCTCCTCTGTTAACATTATTAAAGCTGGACTGGCCAAGCAGCGATATATATCAAGACGAAACCTGTGATAAAATTTGATTCCATAATGTAAAACAAATTTATTAGATAAATATGATCAGTATCTTTAGCCTATAATTTTCATAAATTTAAAGTATTATAAAATTGAAAGAAAATAAAACTATAAAATACTTATTATAAGGTAACCTGCATAAAAAGAAAAAAACTTAAAAATAAATATTTTGAAATATAAATATTGCAATTTTTTATATCTACTGCTTATAAAGAAATTGTTTTAGTATTTGTTTTCATAGATTCAAAATTTTGTATCCTTCAATTCAATTTAATTAAAAAATTTCTATTCCTGAACTCAGTATTATTTTAAATGAAATATGTTAATAACTAATACATTTTGAATATGATATGGATGATCATTAAATTTTCCTTCCCCAGTGATAAGTTTACTTTAATATGCTACATATATATAACACATGACTCATTCAACCAGGTTATTTTTGAAAGACCTTTCAAATCTTAAGAATGAAATCATTGATTTATGTCTAACCTCTAACTAATAGAAAAGTATTCCCTTTACCTTCCGTAAACTAATTAATGTTTATAATCAATATCTAAATAGGAACCAAGTCAGAAAAATTTTGCTATAATTCTTTCATTTATAAATATATAATTCTTAATTTAAAATTTGGTAGATATTATATAAATATTTTTTCTTTTAAATACAAATTTAATATATGCTTGTTTAAAAAAAAGCAAGCAGTTTAGAAACATAATGCTCCCCAATTCTCCTCCTTCCACCAACTCCACTCCTCAAAGAGAGTCATATTTCAGAGAGTTATGAAAATCTTTCCTGATATTTTCTATTCACACACAAACATAATCAGATACACTGTGTACAGGAACAACTATTTCTTCTTTTTTCTTTTCTATATTTATTGATTTTTATCAATTTTTGGTTATTCATAAGGAATCAGCTTTCATGCTACTTTTGTGACAAGCCTACAACCCTAAAATTCTTAGGTGAAATTTATTGCATCTGAATTTCCAAGACACTTTTTAAATTTTTTTTCTTTCTTTATTTCTTTTTTTAAATTAATTTTTATTGCAGTATGGTTGCTTTACAATGTTGTGTTAGCCTCCACTGCACAACAAAATGAATCTGCCATACATACAGATATCCTCTCTCTTTTGGGCTTCCTTCCCATTTAGGTCACCACAGTGCATTAGGTAGAGCTCCCTGTGCTGTACAGTATGTTCCCATCAGTTGTCTATTTTATACATAGTATCAGTAATGGATATGTGTCAGTCTCCCAATTCCTCCCACCCTACCCCTTTCCCCCTTGGTATCCATACATTTGTTCTCTACGTCTGTGTCTCTATTTCTGCTTTGCAAATAAGATCATCTGTACCACTTTTTTAGATTCCACATATACGCGTTATTATACGATATTCGATTTTCTCTTTCTGACTTACTTCACTCTGTGTGACATTCTCTAGAAGGGACAACTATTTCTATGTCACTACATATAGAGTCATCTCGTTATTTCCTAAAACTGGATGGTTTTCCATTTGATGGCAGTCCATACAATCTCCATTAATGGAACTTTAGGTTGTTTCTGATTTTTTACTTCCATAAATAATGTACAACTGATTATTCTTTAGTTCATATACCCTTTGCACATTCAGAACTGCTGGATAAAACACCATGTGCATTTTAAATTCTGGTAGATGTTTCCAAAGCACTAACAATAAGGAGAGTTCATTGTCCCCTACATCTTCATTAGTACATTGCTACCCTAACAGATGAAAAATGGAATTTTAAGAGTTGTATTACTCTGAATTTCTTTAGAAGCTTAAGCATCTTTTCATGCTTACTATTTGTTTATACTTCTGTAAACTACCTGTTCATTTGCATTAGCCTATTTTTCTGGTGTTTTTTTTTTAAATCACCAATTTGTAAAACCTCTTTATATATAAAAGAAATTAGCCCTCTGTCTAGTCAAAAATGTTTTAAATACTTTTCTCTCGTTGGTTGTTTGTCTTTTACTTTGTTTGCAATGGAATTTTTCTGTATGGAAATTTAAAACTTTTATGTAACAAATTTATTGAAATATTCCTTATTTACCTGATAGGTCTCATGTCTTACTTAGAAACAAAAATAGACTCTATACAAAGCATTTTTTTCTATATAATGCATTTCTAAGAAAACAATTTTTATGAAATCCAGCTCTGATCTAGATATTTAATTAACAAGTACAATTACCTGTATCTTAAGTAAGGATTTCTACAGAGGTATTTGCCTATACCAAAACTGTCCAAAAACTTGAGAAAAATATATATAATTGAGTAACTTATCTTTCTGTTTCCATCATAGCAATTAATTTTTAGAGTAATTAATTTTATCAGATTGTCTCTAAAAATGACTTTTGTATTAACCTACATAGTCATGTCTCAAAATATGGATTAGTGACAAAATGCACAGGAAGAGTGACTGCTAGTACTGGTGGCAACCAACTATGCTGGAGTAATAATGGAATAGCCATAGTATGGAAAGCAATTAGATATAATCTCAAAAGTAATGAGGCTGCCTCGCTTTATTAAATCTGTCATTTTTGGTATTCAAAACACTATCAAAAGTAATGGTGGGGGCTTCCCTGGTGGTGCAGTGGTTGGGAGTCTGCCTGCCGATGCAGGGGACACGGGTTCGTGCCCCAGTCCGGGAAGATCCCACATGCCGCGGAGCCGCTGGGCCCGTGAGCCATGGCCACTGAGCCTGCGCGTCCGGAGCCTGTTCTCCGCAACGGGAGAGGCCACAACAGTGAGAAGCGCGTACCGCAAAAAAAAGAAAAAAAAAAAAGTAATGCTGGGATATGAAGAGGTCAGTGATTTCACTACACAAAATATATGCATAAAAATGGACACATTTTTTTTAAAAAAATCAACTATTTCAGGTCACTGGAAATTGTCTATTGAGAATCAATTATTGGAAAACTGCCAGAGCTTCAGGCAGGAATGGCTGGAATCCGCAGCCTTCTCACCTGAGGCTACCTCTTCACCTCTGCCTCCAGTTCGCTCAATGAGAACTGCAGTTTTCCAGCCTGAAGCTGGTAAATCTGTATCTTTGTGCTAAAAGGGTAAAAATCAATTCATTGGGAAGCAAAAACCTACAGCTCTGCTGGCTGAAAGGATTAGACTTAGTAGAGATGAACAAGGAAAACCTGCAGCTTTGCAAGACCAAGCTTGCAGTCTGATTTGAGACAAAGAGTGGACCAATCAGAAATTTAATAGGGAGATCTTGGAAATGAGAAAAGATATACAAGGATTCATATATAGTCTCCACAAATCCCTGGCTGACTAAAAAATTAGGCATGTGTGCCAAGCATTAGAAAGTCTGATAAAAAGAAAAAGTTCCTCAAGGGAACTCTTGAGAAATGGCTGCAACTTTGAATGCCTTCTCCAACTAACTCACAGACTGTTTGTTTGTGTCTTACATTCCACATACAAGTGAAATCATATGGTGTTTGTCTTTCTCCGTCTGACTTATTTCACTTAGCATAATGCCCTCAAGCTCCATCACGTTGTTGCAAACGGCAAGACTGCATCACCTGGCACTGCATCATCTCTGAAATTTAAAACCCAACATCTTAGAAATACAGATTGCCTTTCTTCCTTATTGCTAGTATACTAACTCTTCAACGTCACTGAAACCTTTACCCATCCCTTACTCATTTGTTAGCTTCCTTTTCTCCTGCAGGTCTGCTTAGCAATTCCTGGAAATGACTTCAGTCAGATCCCTTTGACATTTGCTATAACTGTTTTCTCAAACATCAATAACAAACTCTCTCAATGTCTTCAACAGATATACCAGACCATCCCTAAGTAAACCACACTCACGTACTGTGTAAAATGCCTTTTACCTGTTAATTCTCATCCATAATTATTAAACACTGAGCTCAAGCCACAGCTCCTCTAAAAACTTTCAAAACAAGCTTTTTCCACACCTCAAACCAAGACAGGTAAAGTGTTTTCTCCAGCTCCAACCCCTCACCTCCAACTGCTTAAACTACACACATATTTAATAAGCATACCTAATAATATTTAATAATATTTGAAAAATATTTATATTTAGTATTAATAAAGGATTTTAATACTAGAAGAAGTCTTAAAGATCATTTCTGCTTGTCATTTTATAGAGTATTTTATTTTATTTGCCAAGCTGCATGGCTTGCAGGATCTTAGTTCCCTAACCAGGAACTGAAACTGCCCTATCAACTTCACTGACACTGCCCTTGGCAGTGAAAGCAGAGTCCTAATCACTGGATTGCCAGGGAATTCCCCATAGACCAGTCATTTTAAAACTAAAAAGTTAAATGAAATTGGCATAGCTATTAACCAGATCTTATCAAAGAGAAACACAGATCTCATTGTAAAATAGACTTGAAAATAGAGGGACTTCCCTGGTGGCGCAGTGGTTAAGAATCCGCCTGCCAATGCAGGCGACATGGGTACCAGCCCTGGTCTGGGAAGATCCCACATGCCCCAGAGCAACTAAGCCCATGCACCACAACTACTGAGCCTGTGCTCTAGAGCCAACACAGCCAAAAATAAATTAATTAATTAATTTAAAAAAATAGAAAAAATATCCAGTACAATCTCTGCAAGTAAACATTAAATTGATTCCCAGGAGACTTTTCCAATTTATGGATTTGTGACTATCTGTTGAAAGGTGAGGAAGGAGGGAGGGTGGATGGTTTACAGCTTTAAAGCTAATTTCAAATATACTGCACAACAATCCTTAACTAGAAAACAATGTCAACGGATGACCTTGGACTTCCAAACCACATTTTCTGTAGTAAATGCTATACTTGATACTATTTCAACTATATTTGACTACTATGTAGATAATATATACATAAAGGCATATGCTGAAAATTAGATTCTCAAGTCTAGCCCAGACCATACACCTTATACAACGTGCACATGTGTGATCTTGCTCAACCTGTCCAAGAAGGGGTACTTTCTTGTTCATTCACTCCTCAGTTGTTCTTAATATTTTTGACTGGGGAGAATGGGAAGAGAAGAAGACTCAAATACTGTGTGAGAGGGGAAAAAGAGGCATAACAGGTTGAATATCTAGTTAGATAGATAATAGTTTTTATTTTCTTATAAATAAGACAGGAAGTGGTATCTCTACCCCTTCCAGTGCTTGGAAATTCTCTTAGATTAATAAACTCTGCTTTTAAAAAGCAAATAGTGACCCCATCCCTGACCAGCAGAAGTATGAGATAAACCTTATTCATTATTTGAAATTTTTTCCTAATTATTCATCATTTAGTAAATACTTCTTTAAAATGCAGAACTCATTGTATTAAGCAAAGGAGCTAGAAGTCTGGCTTTCATTAGTCATTGCAGTACCATATTTCTTAAAGTAGACATAGAAAGAACAACAACAACAAAAACTTCATTGACATATACCTTACTGCATAATACATCTTAATTTAAACCTTAATTTTCTGACCTGGAATGTCGGAGGCTGTCCTTTTTGTTTTTTGCAGAACACAATGTACATTCACAGCCAACCGCGTGGGGCTTAGGTAGAGATACATCCTGTTTTAACAGCATTGTAAGAATTTCATAGTTGTTACGATGAGCAGCTAAAATGACAGGTGCAACATCCATAGTTGTTGAATACTCAGGATTCTGAATTCGCTCCATTAGTTTCTGAAAAATATTTATATAAACGTCCAAAAGTTCTTATTTGTGACTTCAAAAAAACATTTATCTAAAAAATGTAATGAAAAATATTGAATGCACAAAGGATATAAAAATTATTTTGAGGAATATGATAAACATTTTCCAGGATCAAATCTTTTTTGAAACCTCAAAACTTAACTTTAGTTAATAAATGCAATATAATCATGACAGACAAAATCTTCAATAGGAAATGTTCATACAGCCAGACTTCTGTTTTCCTAACAAAGAAGAAGTGTGGATATCTAGAGAAATACTTTAGGAGAAAGTGTTTCATTTTCACAGGATTATGGAAACATGCATGACAAGGATAAAGAACAAGAATTTTAGAAAAACAATATAATGGAAAAACAGAAATGTTAAAAGTAGGCAAAATATAAATGCACGAGAAAAAAAAGTTTAATTCCACCTCTATGGCAAAACCTTGCCACATTGATAGCAATGAAGTTACTTGAAAGGAATAATAGGAGGCACTCTTCATTTTGTGTAATTCTCTACATATTCTCAAACACCACCTATACTACTTCCTGTTACAAATGCACAAAAACACTAACAATCATAGCTCCTGGAACTATTAGGCAGTGTACATTTATCATCTCATTTAATCCCAATAGCCTGCAAAATTGAACATTATAATCCCCATGAAGAAACTGAGGCTCAGAGAAGTTAATGTGCCCGAGCTACGACAACAGAGTGGCAAAGTGCAGATAGACCCCAGCTGAGTGTTATTCTGGATGCTGAGCTCCTTTCACTACATGGGCTCATGCCTGGTGATTGCATGACACGAGGAAAGAAACATTAGTAAATAAAGAGCAGGATTAAATAAAGAAGGTTGACTATTTTATGACTATTACATATTCTTTCTAATACTTATCACTTTTTCACAGATGTTTTCCTGTGAGCTGTTTGATTCCATAGTATAAGCTCATCAAGTTCACTGTTAATTTTTGTAATTTTTATTAACATTGTAAAAGTAGTGTACACATTATAAAATATCTGAAAAATATGCAAAAGCAGAAAGAATAAAAATGCCCATGTTCCTACTACCCAAAACATTTTACAGTATTTCCTTTTAGTCCTTTCTCCACCACACCCGCTTTTTAAGGGCAACTTTGGCATGAATGACTTGGCACCAACGATTAAAAACAATGGTCCTTAAGATTTTGAAGATCAAGGACCCTTATAATGATCTCATAAAGATATAACCCAGAATCTTCTGGAAAAAAAATTCATGTACAGAATTTTGCATGCAGTTTAAGGAAGTTCATAGACTCTATGTTCAAGATATTTTATTTTGCTAATATAAATAATACTACCACAAACATCTTTATGAATACAGCTTTTTCAAAATTCAGGATTATCTCATTAACATAGAACCCCTGAAGTGGAATTATAGGTCTGAAGGCCATGAACAATTTTGAAGCTTTTTATACATATTATCAAAGTCCTTTTAATAGTTTATATTACCAATAATATAGGAATGTACCCACCCACTAAGGTTTACTCACCAGCACTGAGCATGATCACTCCCAATTTATGAGTGAAAAAAACTATCATGAAATATTAATTTATTTTTCTTTGATTACTGGTAAATTCTAGTATTTTCTGACATTCTTATCTTTTTTTTCCTCTCTTATGAATAGTTTGTTTATACACTTCCCATCTATTTATTGGGGACTTCAAATTAATGAATTTATTTTAAAATTACAGAAAAATCTAAAAATTTATTCCATTCTCCCTAATTACAAAAAAAAGAGGTTATAAAGAGGAGAAAATCATATTTAATCCCTTAAGAAAAAAAATGGTCCTTATTTTTCCTATGAAACATAATTAACTGTATGAAAAACACTATTAGAGATAGATGATTAAAGTTCCTAATTTCAATGCTCATAATATAATCTACATACTATCAAAAAAAAAACCCTGTATTTAAAAGTGAAAATTTATCAAAAGACAATTTTGATAAGCCAAGAATAAAAAATGAATTCACTGAGGTGGTAAAAAAAAAAGTATATAAAAATATTTGATACTGCCTGTCCAGTTGTAATGAGGCCATTAAAATGTGATCTTGTCACTGGAAGTATTCAGGCAAAGGCTGGATAACTTTCTTTGTTAGAGATAGTGTAAAAAGTGTTCTTTCATTGAGTAGGTGAGGACTGCCCACCCTTACAACTCAGTATTCGATTGGCAGTGACAATGGTGATGAAATGATATCAGTCAGTTGCTCCAATACCCTGGCACACTACACTCACCCTCCCTAAGAGTGTAAATGGATTAAAAGGCTAGAAGGTGGAATAGGTATACCAAAATATACTAGTAACTGCAGGATAGGTGTCAGAAAATTGAATAGGATTTCTGATCATTTCTGATCTTTTGGATAGGAGTTATATTATTGGCCCTTTTTTCTCTACTCTTGTTGGCTGCCTACCACCACTTAAACTAGTTGGAACTATCCTCTGGAGAAAGTCATGCTTACACAAACTTTGTAATAGTTTAAATGAGAGAAAAATATTTCAGTTAATATATGATAAAGTATGGAATTTAGGGGAGCTTCTTATCGCTCTCAGAATATGGCAGATAATTTGCAACCAATTTATAATTCTTTCTTAAAACAATATTTTTCTTCTGAGTATAGCCAGTTTACACTCCCAGAAATTAATTTTTACTGATTGTTTTACTACATCCTCACCAATAATGAATGTTATAACTTTAAAATTTTGATACACAACAAATATCTCTTCTTTTTTTTTTTTTTTTTTTTTGTGGTACGCGGGCCTCTCACTGCTGTGGCCTCTCCCATTGCGGAGCACAGGCTCCGGACGCACAGTCTCAGCGGCCATGGCTCACGGGCCCAGCCGCTCCGCGGCATGTGGGATCCTCCCAGACTGGGGCACAAACCCGTGTCCCCTGCATCAGCAGGCGGACTCTCAACCACTGCGCCACTAGGTAAGCCCCAAATATCTCATTTTTACAGTAGAATTTATTTAATTATTAGTGACTATCTTCCTAGTTACAAAAGCAATAAAGAAAAATTTTAAAGTAAGGAAAAATATCCTTAAATTTGGCAATGTGATGACTGCTGTTAGGTAACATTTTGCTACATTTCCATACAGTTCCTTTTCTGTGCATATTTTTAATCTCAGATCATATTATATGTACAGTTTACTATTCTCATTTTTTCCCTTCTGTATCATATTTTTTCACGTTCCTAATTATTCCTTTTAAAAATATCATGTTAATATATATGTAATTATTTATGTTTCCAATCTTCTATTTTGGGATGTTTAGATTGTGTCACATGGTTTTTTCATTGCCACAAATAAGATTACAAGTAACATTTCTGTCCACATTTCTGACCATTTCCTTTACAAATTCCTAGAGGAGGAAGCGCTAGGTTCAAGAATATGAACATCTTTCTTGTTTATGACATATCCTGCCAAACTACTTTTCAAAATACCCTCTTCCAGTGGTGTATGAGGCTGTGCTACACCTTTGCCATCAATGGTTATTAGTTTTTACAAAAAATTTGCTGTTTGATAAGCAAAAATTAGCACCTCGTATTTGATTATTAGTAAGATTTAATATTTTGTACTTTCTTTTGAGATTTTTCCATGTCTTTTATTGATTTTGATGTTTTTCATCAATTCATCTAATATTAAGATTATGAATTTGATATATGCTGGAAATATCTTTTGAAAGTTATCCATCTGCTTTCTAAATTTTGCCTGATGTCTTAATTCTAGAAGTTTAACTTCTATACAGCCAAAGCCTGTGCCACTGTGATTTTTCTCCAAAGTCCTTCCCTCCCAGTCAAATATTCACCTACATTTTCTTCCAGTTCTATGGTGTCACTGTTTATATTTAACTTTTAAATGCACCTGGAAGCTAATCTGTATTTTCAACTTAACCTGCAGAATGTTCCAAACTAAAAATACTGGATCACACTGGCAAAATTATAGAAATATCATGAATTTTAATACGGTTTCCTGAGAGCAACATTAATTATTCTTGCAAATGTCTACTTACTTTAAAGCAATATTTTACAGAGTAAAAAAAAAATCTATTTCTTTAAAACAAAGCAAATTGGAGGGGAGGGAGAAAAAAATGGCAGTGGGGCAGGAGATCTATTTTGGTTTAAAAATCCGAATTAATAAATATTTAAGAGTACTAACTACTATAGTTGGTCTTGATGATCGTTTTGGTCGATGATTAAGTAGTATATCAACAGCTCCCACTACTTCAGAGTCGATTGCCACCAAAAGTGCATCTGCAGACTTTAAAAAAAAAAAAAGGTTAAAAATGAAAATGGAGGATAAAAAGGTAAACTATTTATTTTTACTAATTCATAAAGAAAACTATTTTTTTAAATTTAAACTGTATTATATACAGTAATACTAAATTTTTAAAAATTTAGACTGTCCGAATAGTACATTTGCTAGCCTTGGCAGTACTTCAGTGTACCATAACACACATATTTTTGTCCTGGTTTCACTGAATGAGCTGGTAAAATAATGAATGCTTGATAGTGGGGTTTATTAATGAAACAGTGCTGATCTATGCAGTTTAGTTGATATGTTATTTTTTTCAAGATGTTTACTCTCGAACTTTGGACCAAAAGAATCTTCATTACTCCAAATCTATAAAAGAAATTGCCAAGAACAATTACTACAGGTAAAGGATTGTTTTCTGTCTGATAAAAATGATAATGCAACCATGAGGCTAGGGGACAATGAAAAACATGTTAACAGAAGGCGGAGCCCCTCTGTTCTCATCTTTAAAGCACACACGGCTGACTGAAATGGTACAAATATGGCATTAATATTAGCAATCTTTTTCTTTTTGTTGGTGGTGCCACACTGATTGCGGGATCTTAGTTCGCTGACCAGGGATCGAACCCAGGCCACAGCAGTGAAAGCGCCGAGTCGTAACCACTGGGCCACCAGGAAATTCCCAACATCAGCAATCTTAGCAAGTAAAAATCACAAAGAACTAGGATACCAATGTCCTTAGAGACAAGCCGGAGAAGTGACTTTATAGTTTTACTCCCAAACTATAGGTCATTTTGAAGCTCCAACTTTGACAGGAGGAAAAAGTAATTAAATAGAAGCTGAGGAAATGGAGATTTTTCAACTTTTCGATATAACAAACTCTTCAGTCCTATTTGTGATACTTGGCAAGTGAGACATCAGGTTTGGGGTTTCTTTTTGTTTTGCTTTGTTTTGTTTTTTAAGGAAAACCATAAAGGCAGAAGCAAAAAGTGGGGATAGGTAATGATTTAATCTAAGAAAATACCCTGATTATTTAAAAATGTACCCTGTACATTTTTAAATGATTATACTGTTTAACAACTATTTAAATCAATATTCTCTCCCATGAAAATGAAATTATACCAGATCTTTAATATTCTTTGTAGCTGAAAAGGAAGCTTTCATCCACTTTCTCTAGATGTCAAAAACAGGACTAAAAATGGCAGACTTCATCTGGATGTCTAAAAATAGGACTAAGCACCCCAAATAATTGGGTTGGGGTCACATTCAACCATTAGGAACTGCCTATGTATTCCTACAGGGAAAACTCCCCACCCTCATGGGAAATTTAATTCATTATTTTATCCCTTAAACATTTTAGGGTTCACTGGGCTGTAGCCTATTCTTTAAAAGCTAGCACTATTATTCTTCTGCTTTACAAACGTTTCTCTTCAGTTTTTACTGTACTTGGTCAGGTGAAGCAAACAAGCAAAAAGAACCATGTGTTCATTACTACTAAACAGTTCATTTATGGTTTTTAATTTTAACCTATAAAGCTACCTATAGTAATGCCACTGCTCTCGAAGTCAAAACACCAGGCAACTCCAATCATCTGAAACATAGCCATGGATGTAGCTGCAAATTTCTCCCCAAACCATACTGAGCTGTCACAAACGAACTTCATGGGCATTCTTTCCTAGAAACAACTGCCTCACCCACACCGACTTCGAGTTGTCCATAAATGACAGACACCTGGCTTTCCCAAGTACCCTACAGGCTAGATTAAAACCAACAGAGAAGGGAGGAAGGATGAAAAACGGCTAAAAGTTGATCATTGAGAAGATAAAATATCAGCATAGCAAAATCACTATCAATACAAAGCAGTCTGAAGCCACTTAATGTAAGGGAAAACGTGTCAATAGTCTCAGACTATATGAAGCAAAGTAAAATGATTAAACTCTCAATGATTCCCACTTACGATGGTAAAGTTAAATTATATTCAGATATACTGTTTAGTAAAGAATAAAGAAAGAGTCATGTTAAATCTTTCAAGGCTTAAAAGGATAAGCTTCAGGTATAAAAAAATTTATGTAAAAAAGTCATGTAAGGAGTTGCCCTGGACTTATTCTGCACAATGCTGTTACTTGATATATCAAAGGCAGCTCCGAAGGGAAAAATGTTTTAAATTATTTAAGTATCTCTAGGTATACAAATGTCCTCATTAGTTTTGCTTCCTAATTTTTCACAGATATTTGACCATTCTTTATTAAAATCTATTCAGTACACACCTATTATGTATTAATGAGGTTACTATCTCCCTTCTCACCTCAGAATTTGTCTTTTCAACAATTCCCATACTCTCTCCTCAAAGCTCAGATACTCATTTATTTCATTCCTTCCCAAAGCTAAATTTTCCACCTAGGTATTCTATTTAGTGCTCTGGTCTTCTACAGGACCTTGGTCCTTCCTTCGCAGAAACACCAGTCCCAGCCCTCACCTCCCCAAACCTCCCAAAACATGAAATACTTCCTCACTCTTTGCTAATTGACATGATCCTCTCTTTCTCTCACCACTAGAGTTTTCTTTCACTCTCACTCTCAAGCTCATGCGTGTCATTTTCTCTAATTCTACTGATGCCAGTTTCAAAATCCAATGGCCTTTCCTACCATTTTCCTTGATTTCTCAGCAATGTAATAAAACCGTTTCTTTGGTTTTCACAACGTTGCATATCCTAACTCCTTTAATGAAACCCTTTCCTTCTAATGCCCTTTTTTAATGTAGATGCTCCCTGAGAAAGAATCAGCACTAGTTGTTTGCTCTTCTCTATGATTTCATCCACTCTCATGATGTCGGGTCATCTCCATGGCCACGACTGCTGTATCTCTCCAGCCCAACCTCTCCCTAGAGATGTCAGCTTTCCACTGGAAACTGCCTGATAGCCCCAAAATAAACAAGGCTAAAACCAGAATTCACAGTTCTCTGCCCCAAGTTTGACTTAACTTCCTGTTTTTCTTGCATCATTCTCCCAGTAACGCATGTTTAAGATTTTCAAATCATCTTGGACTCCTTCTCAATACCCCCCTCCAAATTTAAATACTAAGTTCTATCAATTCTTCCTTCATAACATCTCTCACATCTGCCATTTTTTCCCCATTCTTATAGCCACTATTCCAGTTCAGGCTTTAACCTCTTCACATCTGGATTATTATAAAAACTGCTCACCCAAGCTATTTATAGCCCTACCCACTTCCCATTTTTTAATCTGTACTGAACACAGCCACTACATTAGTTTTTCTAAAATACCATTGGACACATCACATCCTTACTCAAAAATTATTTAATGATCTCACTATCTATCATATAAAAGCCAAATTCCTTAGACTGGCATTCAAGCCCTTTTCATCAGTTTTGTCTTAGTTATTTTTCCAGTTATTTTCCACTACTATCCAACCCAAATATTTTGTTCAAAAAGGCTAAGTCAATTCACTGTCTCAAGAATATACATTTACATGCCTTTGTTTACATCCTTCTCCACCTCCTGTTTTACAGTAGTTTTAGGTAGCAGGTAAAAGCATGGACTCTGGAGCCAGAACCTGGGTTCAGATTCCAGATCTGGCATTTACAGAGTAACTTTGGGCATGTTACTGAAACCTTCTGTACCATGGTTTCCTCCTCTATAAAATGGGGATAATAATAGCACCTATCTCATAGAACTGTTGTAAGGATTAAGGAAGTGAATATATATTTAAGATTCCTGTCACACAGTAGAACTATATAAATATTAGCAATTATTAATATTTCAAGGCTGAGCTCAACTGCCATTCTTCCATGAAACCTTTCTTGCTAGCTCTAAACCACAGCGATCTCCTCTTTCCTATGTCTCCAAAACATTTGTTGTGAACCACAAAAGTTTAGGTATAAAACAGGGTTTCTCAATGGTGTCACTATTGACATTTGAGGCCAGATAATTCGTTATTGTGGGGGGCTGTCCTGTTCACTGTAGGATGATTAGCAACGCCCTTACCTTCTACCCGCCACACGCCAGTACTAACCCACCCACAAGCCGCAAAACCATAAATGTTCCCAGACATTGCCAAATGTCCCCCAAGGGACAAAACTGCCGGTTGAGAGCCACTAGTATAACACAAGATAAAATACATGAAAGCACTTTGTAACCTCAAAGCGACATACAAGGGTCAAGTACTATTACCACCCAGCACTTATGAAATACACTTTTATATCATTTGATTGATTTAAAATTCATATGCACTTTCATTGTCCAATTGGTTTTAACATCCTTTAGTACAGAACTCATGTTTTACATATTCATTTCCACAGTCACACCCAACCAAAGGCCTTGGACATCTGTTGACTGACAGATAAGACATAGGTAATTGAAGACGGAACACAGTGAACTGGAAAGAGCATGGGATTTGCAGTCAAAAGGTTAGCTTCAATCTTAGCTTTGCCCTTACTTATTTTAGAACTTTGGGCAATTCATTACAGTCTATGAGCCTCAGTTTTCTGATCTATAAAAAATATAATATCTAGACAGGCTGCCTATGATGTTCAAATGTGATCAGGTATGTGAAAGAACCATGTATACTGCAGACATTTTATATACATAGAATCTTACATGTAAAAAGACAAAATGATTATTGTATCAATACCCTAATACCTCTTTTACATAGAATCATCAGAGACTTTCTTTGTGACATTATTTTATAGGTAACTGAAGCTTATGCCTTTAAGTGTTTAACTTTGAAATTTAAACAAATTTGATGGAAGTTTTCTGCTTTCAGAAGTACTATATATATTCTTCTTTCGTCAAGTAATACATACTGAGTATAATTTAACTTTCCCTTACTGACTCTGGGCCATTGTTATAAATAGCAATTACCACTCTAACATACAGTACCCTTAGAGATTAACAGGTGTCTAATGCTATTGACCTCTTTAAATAGAGTCAGAGGTACTGTGCCTAATTTTTTTCCACTGCAGCCTCATGCCCTTTCTGTTGCCCCTGTAATTCTCTATGGATTAGAAAACTAAGTAAGCTTGTTAAAGTGGAATCTAAAGTAAGAAAAAACAGATTTTGAAGGAGGACTCCAGAATTACCCCTATGATAAAGCTCATAAATGGGAAACTTCACCGCCATCTACCCTGGCTGCTCAGAGGTATTTTTCACTTACTTCCTGGTTCTCGGGGGTGTTCTGGATAAATGAAATTTCTGGGAAAGCAATTTATTTCTACTCTAAATATGTATACACAGAGACAGTACCACATGTTTTAATACATATATATATGTATTATATATATAATAGAAACATACATAGGACTAACCTACTTATTTTTTAAAAATCTTCTGAATGCTTCCTGATACCACTCCCAAAAAAGTCTCATTAGTTTAAAGCTACAAAAGAGCAAAGAACCATACTGTTTGAAAGAAAAAAAGAGCCAGAATTCATATGCTAAGTCCCATTATAAGCAAACCAAAAAGGAAGGAAAATAATATTATTAAATTTCCTTCCGATCTCTTAACTGAATTCTTTCAAGACATACACATGCCTGCTTTTTTTGTTTTGTTTTGTTTTGTTTTTGCGGTGCACGGGCCTCTCACTGTTGTGGCCTCTCCCGTTGCGGAGCACAGGCTCCGGACACGCAGGCTCAGCGGCCATGGCTCACGGGCCCAGCCGCTCCGCGGCATGTGGGATCTTCCCAGACCAGGGCATGAACCTGTGTCCCCTGCATCGGCAGGCGGACTCTCAACAACTGCGCCACCAGGGAAGCCCCAGATGCCTGATTTTTTACACGAACTGATATGAAGACAAGCAGAAAGGTCAATGTTTTCCAGTTTAAAAAAATCCGTTCACCTTTAGCTATAAGCAAACACTAGATTTCAGACAAAAAGGACAATTTAATAAAACTTTGGAGAAAATCAAATTGAAAATTGCTTTGTAAGTGAGGAGTATTCTGTTTTTATGCTTGTAAATTATATGGGCCACAGAAATACCTGTTCCCCTGACACTTCCAGAACACTTGTACTATTTTTAGATATATAAGGTAAATAGTAATAATGTAAGTAATAAAAACAAAGTCATCTTTAATAAGTCATGATAATTTACCTCTGTCGGATGGTTTAAAACATATAAAATAAGGGGCAGGAGTGAAAGTTGGGAAGAAAAAGATAAATCAAGTCAAAATACTATACTTTTTTTAAAAAGGGTTTTTTTTAGTTTGTTTTTAAATTTTTAGTAGCTCAAAACAAAATAAAAGGTGAAAGAAAGAGAGAAGAAAAATAGAGAGAGAAAGGAAGGAAAAAAGGAAGGAAGGAAGGGAGGAAGGAAACTAGAAAGAAAGGAGAAAACATGGCATATCTAACAGTACTTAGAAGCTACTGGATAAAATTATCTAGCCTTGTACCTGACAACCGTAGTCCAAAAGAAGCTGCAGTATATCCAAGTTTTCGTTTTCAATAGTTATGGTAACAGCATTTCTCCCAAGCACATCTACGCAATTTATGTTCAAGTCACCTGAACTGTTTTCCTCCAAAATCTTTTTAACCATATAATAGTCACCTAAATAACAATATACAAACATAATTTAATATCCATGACATATTAAATAAGAATGACTGTAAAGAAAACTTAGCCTGTTGATTTAAAAGATTAAAAAACGTAAACTCATTTTTGTATATGGAAATGTGCAAAGAAAATGTGAGCATTTCCTTGCTGAAAACTTATACCCTGATAAAAGAATATGTACATCAGTTGCAAACATAAAAAGTAGAAAAAATTTAAATGTACAGTTTAAAATCAAAGTTGTTTAAAATTCATAACTGATTGATTATAAGGAGAAGAACTTTCAGAAGATATTTAAAGTAATAAAGAATGTCTAAAAACATAGACTGCGTGCTAGGAAAATAAGATATAAGCTTAAAGGATTTAAGTTTTATATCTCAAATACATACACACATTTAATTGTTAAATGGTTAAAAACGAGATCTAGTAATAAGTGGAGGATGTTATGAAGAGGTTTTACAGGGGAAAATACTTTGGAAAAGCAGTGTGAACGTGTATATGCTTGTGGGTATGTATAGTAAAAGGGAAAGATGTCCGAAATTCCTAGTCTCCTCTCCACTCTCCCAACACACACACACACACACACATCTCATTAATGAAGCTGTTTAGATTAAATAACGACAATATTCAGCTCACAAAACTCTTAAGCAAGACTATGACTAATGCTGGTAGAGGCCAATGTCAGAATATTTCAAAGCGAAATTTGACCTGTCAGGATTATGCAGATTAGCTTCTGCGTCACTCTACCCCACTCTACCCCACAACAAAACAGCTAACTCATGGGGTGAAATGAGAATAATTATGGAGGTAATCATTTTCACAGAGGGCCCACTATACTTGTCTGCTAACCAGCTGGTGCAGCAGGTAAAAGGGGAATAAATCAAAAGAGAAATGCTAATTAAATGGAGAAAGAAAGCAAAGTGGGTTTTGTTTTATTTCATCTTACTTTTTAAACATTCAATGAATAAATGATTTTAAGTGACTTGCAAATATAGCTGTTCCTTGGAAGTCTATGAATAAGAAACAGGAAAAGAACAATCAGAGTGGAAATCAGAAGGAAAAAAAATGATTTCATGATACAGAAAGAGAAGATTCTAAAACTGGACTAAATGAGTGAATAACAAAGAAAAGTAACAGATTTTTTTGGTTAAAATTTCAAATAAATTATGCTATTATTTTTAACCAGTGACTTTAAAGTCCACACACATTTTGGAAGATGCTGAATGGTAGTTTTCTTGATGGTGTATTTCCTTAGTTCCCTCAAGAAGAAAACTAGTCACAAAAAGAAATTATTTCCTCATAGAACTACTAATTAATATTTAGACACTAATGCTCCATGGCAAAAAACTTATCAAACACTTCACAAAGTTGAACCAATATGAACATGCAGATAGATCAGTGAAAACTTATCACTAATGCTGGAAAATAACTTTAAAATCTTATTTCAGGTGAGTTGATTTCAATATCTTAGTTGTAGGAGAATGCTACCCATAAAACCCCTTGCTCTATTTTCTTTGGTTTCATGATGTGTCTGGGTGAGGATTAGATTTTATTTATCCTGCTTGAGAATCATTAGGCTTTCTGAAGCTAAGGACTATGCCCTTCATTCATATGCAATATTTTCAGCCATTCTCTCTTCAAATGCTGCTTCATCCCCTTATTATTTTTTCTCCTGTTGGAACTTCTTTAGACATTATGTTAGATTGTCCCATTCTAACTTCTTTGTCTCTAAAGATTTATTTTTCTTCTTTCTCTCTCTCTTTCCTGCATTCTGGATAACTTCTTCAGATTTCTCTTCCACTTATTCCTCCTTCAACTATTTCTGCTGATTATTCATTAATTTTATTTTTTTTTATTTTTTGCGGTACGCGGGCCTCTCACTGTTGTGGCCTCTCCCGTTGCGGAGCACAGGCTCTGGACGCGCAGGCTCAGCGGCCATGGCTCACAGGCCCAGCCACTCTGCGGCATGTGGGATCCTCCCGGACCAGGGCACGATCCCGTGCCCCCTGCATCGGCAGGTGGACTCTCAACCACTGCACCACCAGGGAACCGCCATGAATTTTATTTTTAATGACTACATTTTTTATTTCTCTAAGTTTTATTGGATTCCTTTCCAAATTTTTGATTTACTTCCTTATGTTTTAATTTCCTTATTTTAAGCTTTTTGTCATTTTAAACATACTTATTTTATGGTCTCCATATGATAATTATCTAGGTCTTAGGGATTTAATCCTATTCGTTGTGCCTATTGTGATAATAGGTGACTGTCTTCTGAATTTTTTAATTGGGTATTGCAAACTCAACTTCATGCAGGTTAACTGTGGGAAACTAGGCAGCCTCGTTTGAAAGCTTGTCCCACCAAGGATGTTTTGTGTTTGCTTCTTCCAGATAACTCAGAGGTTTTGCTACCCTATGAATCCTTTTTATACTAATTTCTCAGTTTAGGTTTTCCCAGATCAAGTAGGTAATATTAATTTAAACCCCAAGCCAACAAGAGGCAGGAGCATAGTTACAAGTTCTTAGGGAAGTCTTATTTGAAAGGTTCTTTGTAGGCTCCCTGTGCTGATGGATGGGTTCTTTTCCTCATCTACCCCTTTGCTAAAAGTGTAGTCCTTTAAGGATCCTGGTTTCATGTTTGGATGTTGTTCCAATTCCCCCACTTTGTACAAACTCAAGGCTTTGTAACCTGTTTCCACAAGGGCATTAAAATTCAAATCCCAACAATGCCCAGACTAATAACTCTTGCTCCCATCCACGGAGCACTCAAATGTCAACTCACATACTCCTCTGTTTTTCAGTCTTTTCTTTATGTTTGAATCTGTTTTCCTTACTTTCCTGAAAGCTCAGCTGTTCACTTAAATGTATGTTTATTATATTTTATCTAGCATTTCTAGGTGATTTAAAACAGAAGCATTTTCAGATTATTCAGTCAGCCATATTGCTAGAGACTGAAAAGTATAGAGAGCTGTATACATATAATTCTTATAAAATTGTATAAATTTCACATACAGCAAATGGTCAAAAACAATGGCTACACATTTTTAAAGTTTAGACTGCTATTTAAAAAGTAATTGTATTGCAAATGTCAGATTCTACAGCTTTAAGGTTTCAAACACTATTCCCATTACAGTTAGGGGGCTATACAAGGAAAAAAAAACCTTAGAAATCAAAACCAAGTAAGTAATTTTCATCCCTAAAAATAATAAAAATTTCCACCCCGTCACGGCTGACACATTCACGCAAATGAACAACTATAAACTATAGTCACAGAACCTATAGGAAACCTAGACTGGTTTCTAAGCATTCTACCTAAGTTTATATTTGCAAGCCATTTAAAACAATGTACTGTATTCAGAAAGCCCAGAACAGTCTTAATATTTGGGATGAGTGTATATGTAAGAAGAGGTGAGTAACTTTAAAATATATAGCAAGAAGCTAGTTATAGAGCAAGGATTATAAGTCAAAATGCCTTCTTGGGTCAGGCAAATTTAGAAATGTTTTTCATTTTACACTGAAGTTGCTTTTAATAGTTACATACATCTTTCATCTTTTAGAATATAACATATAGAAGGAAAGGCAACATGATCCATTTACTTTTTTGGCTAGATGGTTGTCTTTTTTTCAGTGAAGGAAGAAGAAACCTTTTCAATCAGTTCCACCAGTATCCAAATTCAACAGCAAAACTTCTCAGTCCCCTCTCCAGAGTATCTCCCATACTTATCCACTTGTACCCTTGTACACGGTAACCCCCAGTTCAAGACACCATCATCTCTCTCCTGGACCCTGCATTAACGTCTTTACTGATACAGCTGCCTACACTCTAGTACAGGGGTCAAGAAACTTTTTCTGTAAAGGGCCATATAGTAACAACAAACTTTTTCTATAAAGGGCCATATAGTAACAACAAACTTTTTCTATAAAGGGCCATATTTAGGTTTTGGGGGCCATATCATCCCAGTTGCAAACACTCAACTCTGCTCTTGCAGCACCAAAGTGGCCACAGACCAAATGTACACGATGAACTCCAATGTGTTCCAATAAATATTTATGGACACTCAAGTTTGAATTTCATATAATTTTCAAGTGTTATGAAATATTATTCTTGATTTATGCCCAACCATTTGAAATGTAAAATATAAAAATCATTCTTAGCTCACAGGCCTTCCAAAAACAGGTGGTGGGTGGATTTGGCCTGTGGGTTGTAGTTTGCCCACCTCTACTCCAGCACCACCTCTTTAATCCACTCTCCACCCAGCATTCACAGTGATCATTTTAAAATTCAAATCGGATCAGGTTTTCAATCCTCAAGATTTTTTTTGTACGCGGGCCTCTCACTGTTGTGGCCTCTCCCGTTGCGGAGCACAGGCTCCAGATGCACAGGCTCAGCGGCCATGGCTCACGGGCCTAGCCACTCCGCGGCATGTGGGATCTTCCCGGACCGGGGCACGAACCCGTGTCCCCTGCATCGGCAGGCGGACTCTCAACCACTGCGCCACCAGGGAAGCCCAATCCTCAATATTTTTAATCACACTTTAAATGCCACAATCTTTTCGTAGCTTACTAAGCCTTATGGGACCTGGGTCTTGCTATCATTCTGCATTTACCTTGTTGCCACTCTCCCACTTACCCACTATGATCTTTCTACACCAATGTTTCCCAAACTGCAGGTTGAAACCCATTAGCAGTCATGAAATCAATGTAGTGAGTCCTAACCAACAATTTAATAAAATGAAATAGTATATAAAAATACTGTTGTAATCCCATGGATCCTTAGCAACAAATTCACCCTGGCCAACTGTGATATATTCACCCTGGCCAACTTGAGAAAGACAGTGGAGATATGTTATAGTATCAGTGAAGAACCGGTAATCACCTTTTCTTCTTGGCATCTCATTTTATTTTCTGACATATGATGGTAAATTTCAGCATCACTGAAATGGGAGTATTAATGTCGGTCAGTTTAATTTTATAGTAACCAAATTTTCAGTTAGTTGTGAAGTACTGGAGAATTTATCTGTCAAAAAATCTGTAAAGTTTTTCAAACCAAGTTTATCTAACAAACTTTTTGACTATGGCAACTGCAACATTCTTATTGAACTATTACTAAAGACACTTAAAACAGAAGATTTTATTATTAAGAGGAAAAGGAATGATGAAGTAAAAAAATACAAAGCCATGATCAAATTCAATTGTTGGATCTGGAAATATAAATAATGACAATACTGATTAAAATGTTAACTCTACAGCAAACTTCAAATTAGTTTGAACCAAATACTAAAAAGAAAAAAAAACAACACACATGCAAGACTTTTAGAGTGAAGACAATTTAAAATGTAGTTTTACCAAATGTGCAAAACCCAATATTTATCATAGACCCCAACATGTTTGTAATCACATTGTTGTGGATGAAACCTTCAAAATTAGATACTCAGAAACATGGTATGCTGAACTGTCCGTAGTACTCTGAATATTTTTGGAAAAAGACAATTATTACTATAATTTCTTAGCCAGTTATGTCTGTTAATTAAGACTATTAGTGATAATGAATATCACCTGGCAAAAGAGCAGACACTGCTGCAGGAAAAAATTATACTTATAGAAGGTAATGCTGATTTTTTTAGAGTAAATTAGTTTATAAATTAAAAATTATTAACATATTCTTGAATCTATTAGAAGCAATGTTCACTTTGTAATTAGAGTCTGTATATGACTTGAGATCTAATTCACAGTGATGTTACAAGTTGTATAAAACTTTAGTTAATATCAGGTATGCAGTAATACAGTTTCATAAAGGATTTATTGTGTTGCTTAAACTTAATCTCACATACATTTAAATTATACATATTTATAGAACTGAAAAAGTACACTATGGATCAATATAAATTAAGCTACAAAAAATATAAAAGGATTAGTGATGGAGCAACAAATATGACCAGAAAATAAACATAGGAGTTTTTTGGGTTTTTTTTAATTAACAGAAGCTATTAATAACAGTGCTGATCACCACTTTATAGGTCACAAAGTTTTGGCATGCAAAGAAATTCCACTGAATCTCATAACTATACTGATATGGTATTGGAATTCTTTTAGTCCTGATAATTTGTTTAGGCTCGTAAAAGTCACTACTTACCCCTTAGTGATAGCTTTTGAACTCATTACATATTAAACTACTAATCCTAGATCTTAAACTTCTTAGTATCATTAAATTTGGTGGTCAGTTATAAGGAAGATATTTCTAACACTGGAAGCATGGAAGAAGAGGAATTATTCTTAGGTTGCAACAATACCCATACAATAAAATTTAATCTTTTAACACCCTTCCCCAAAGTTTATAATATACTAGGTAAAGGGGTTTGGCTTGGGTTACATTTTTTTAACTGCCCAGATAAAAGACTGACTGCATACTAAGAATATCCCATCTTCCAAATCATAAGTAGGCCATTTAAGTTAAATTGAGCATTTGTTTCTGCCCTTCAGACAGATCTATTAGGCACAAACATACTTTATTTCCCTTACTGCTTCTCACAAGAGCACAAGAGAGCATCTCCACTACAGAAGAAGGCACTAAAGGATAGGGATGTAGTCAGTTATTTCTTGATAAAGCACCTTTCTCCAGTGTCCTAACAAAATTAACCTGATATATAGTCAGATGATGAATTATAGAAAAGAACAGCAAGTTAAAAATGAAATAAAGAAGCACACTTCTGTAATCACTACAAAGAAATGCCAGTATTATACTACTATGAAGCAGCTAGCTGCTCAATGATTAGCCTCTTATAATAAAACTATCCACCAAGATTCTGGTGATTTAAGAGTCTTTTTTGTTAAAATAAAGATGAACCATACACTATGGCACCACTGGTGATTTGAAAAACTCTCCTGTACAAAATACTTAAATGCTTAAATACTAATGACAATTTGTGAAATGCCTGTAGAATTTTGTATATAGTACCCTCTTTACCTCTCCTTTCTGCAAAGTTTTCTTCCCTCACAGCACATACCTCTTAACATTAGGTGTCCCTTGTCGACATAAAACTTCTTGGCAGTACCCAGTACTCTGCACTTTTTCTTCCCACGGCCATCCTCTCCAACCCCAGCCACTTCAAAATCTCTTTTCAAATAGCTGTTTTTAAAAGTCCCATTAAATATATTAAGTGCTATTAAAACAACAGCTTAATATTACTTTTCCCAGAAATGTTACCCATTTCAAAAGCATCCTAAGCCAAAGGTATGCAAAGTTTAAGCAGAATCCAGGCATCAAAGCACCCTCCATACAATGCAGCAAATCAATACCACAAAGGTGACAGAGATCTAGATTATTAGACTGAGCCTGACAATAAAGGTGAAATTCAGCTCTCTCCATCCCTCCCCTGACTCCATGCTGAAATTTCAAGAAGGGCCTCCTGACTTATTGCAAATCAAATTTCCTGAAAATGTTCTTCATGAAAAGTTGGCAGGGACTGAATCCTGTCATCATTTTCCTTTTCTACACAAGAACTGATTACTGATCATCAGCAAATTAAGGGTTTAATACTAAAGCTGCCATCTACGCAACAGTTACTTTCAAAGAGGTGAATTAACAACTATGTTTAGCTTAGATGCTCCCTAAATAAAGGTATTAATTCTCCAGCCAGCAGGTCTGAAGTTAGACCCCTGTCTCCCACAAATAAAAGTGGCTCATGACCATACTAATTCTCAGTGTGAAAGGAAGACTTGGGTGGTAAGAATCACTGCTTAATATTCCATAAAACAACACTCTTGTTTCAATTAACCTTTACCTCTGAATTGCAGCATTCTACGTCTAAAAAGAATATGTGTACTTTCTGAGAATTTTATGTGGGGTGGGGGGCCAGACTTAGCTTTCTATAACTGGCACAGGAGCCTTCAATTCACTTTTTCTTCTAAATTTTACGAAAAAGAACCGATGTTACCTTTGAGATGATTCTGACCCACTTTCAAGATCAACAATAGCCACTATTAAGTGGCCACTACCTGGATCTGCGCTTGCCTAGATCTATTGGACTAATAATTTACATAAAAGCTAGCTGTACACACTATAAAATCAAACTATAAAATCGTTTTCTTTCCTTTTTTCTTTACTCCTTAATCTGTACACACCTTTCAAAGGGTCACCCATCCACTAACACATAACCCCATCTCCACAATTTTTGCTTTAGGAATTCTCCTTAAGTGGAATACATTACGGACATTTTACACATGTAGTGTAAACTTGATAAATGAAAAAAGGATGAGAAACATAGATGTTCTAGAGTGGATCTGCTCTTGTGCTATTAAAGCTTTTTACTTTTATTGGATAAACATAATCCATGGAAACCACAGTTAATAAAACATTCACAGAGAGCAAGTTTAATTTCCAATTAGTAAATCCAAATATGGATGTGTCTTTTCTAACACAAGTGATTTTCATTCATTCAACTACAACTAGATCAAAACTTAGTGGTTAAGAGTACAGGCTCAAATTAGATCCTAGTTCTACTACTAACTAATGTAACCTTGGGCAAAGTAATTCTAAAATTTTGCTAAGCCTCATTTTCCTCATTCATAAAATGGGGATAACAACATCTGGCTCATGGGGTTGTGAGGATTAAATGAAATCATCTATGAAAAGCATATGCACTCTACCCCAAAAGCTGTCTCAGTCAACGTTTGCCATTTGGCTTGATGAAAGCTCCAAAGTAATAGTGGAAACTATAGCTACTTCAGGAAACTTTTCACTTTTAGATTTGGCTTGGGTAACGCTAAATAAGGTTTAACAATATTAGTGAATATAAACGAGTAAACAAAAAAACTGCTATAACTCAAATATATTTTTTTCAGCATAAATGTATACCATAAGTACATGTAAGAAATAAGCCATTTTTCCAAATCTAACCTAAGAATTCATTTCAACATACCTGAAACAGAAAATACCTATTTAATCTCACTTGTTAAAAAATGTTTTAATTTATACGGGGGAGAAAAAGCATGCATATTTACTTTCCACCCAACCCCCAAAAGCCAAATCTCTCCAAGGATCTTAATGATGTTATAAAAGGGAAACTGACGAAGAAAGACTATCAAGGCTATTTCAACTGGCACTACTGGACAGGTTACAGAGCTGTCATACATTCAAACTCTTTTGACATATGTCATGCAATAATCCTAAATATACACACCATACAAGTACTTATTCGAGCTATGTTCCACTATGACATTCCTCTGTCCTCAGTTTAACAGGAATATTAAATTGCCTTTCTTGACATAATTTCTGTTTGCTTTAAAATAACCATAGCTCAGTAAGCTGGGGTAGATGTAGCAGCCACTTACTAATGCTAGTACAACACAATCCGTTCCCTTCCTCTCTCAGAGAATTTTTGAAGGAAGAGAACTCAGACTATCCACTCTAGAAATACTAAATAATTTTATGTAATCCACAGACAATGATATTTATGAGGTTATAGACATATATTCTATGTTTCTTCACATTTCCAAGACTGTATGAACCTGTCCATGGTGGACTTTCACAAATGCTTTCATAATATAATTTAATACTACTACATAAGATCATAAAAGGACTCATGATGGACAGGGGTGGACTTTCTTTATACATCAATGTGTTTTCAAAAAGTTGTGTAAATAAAATCCTATCTCAAAGCAGTAAAAGTGGTTAAGGAGGCTGTCATTTATTTAAAAAAAAAAAAACACATACAAACAAAAAAATCCTCTGTAGTTAATCTTTTCACAGTGTAAGTTGCCCTTTGGGTTTATGTTTTGGAAATTTGCATGATCCTAAACATTTTTCCTAAGCAAGCATGGCCACTGGAAGGCAAGCTGAATAAATTTAGAAAGAGAAAATTCACAGCACTTTTTTACACGTAGGAAATAAAAGCAGTCTTAGGGCAATCAATTTCCCATTCTTTTTATTATATTCATCAATAGAAAGCATGCTTAAGTGAGGAGACTTTGTTATGGCCATAAAAGTGATCGATTTCCAGATTTTTAAAAAAAATATTAAATATATTCCACATTTTTGCCCTGTAATTATTTTGCACTACCTTTATTTCCCAAAGACGTCGGAGGAGCAATAAACCTTCCTCTCTAATAAAAAGCATGAACAAAGTTGCTCCATAAATTTGGAGAAACTCTGGAACTTAGGCAGAATTTCTCCATAAAGTGCTGTCTTTATGTCCACCTAGGATATTGACATACCTAATGCCATTAGACAGTCACTGAACACCAAGGCACCGGGTGGCTGGAGTTAAATAATACAAGTAAGGTTTTAAAGAAAAAAGAAAACAAAACACCAGCTGAGAGCCCATAATCAGGAGGTACATTAAGCAAGGACATGGGATTTTTTTCGTACTGAAAGGTCCAAAACTAGACAAAACCTCTGGGCTTCCAGAAAGAAAGAACTAAAGCCCCAAGCGGTAGACCAGGTCATTCAAGTGGTCAGTAGCGCAGGTGAGGCTGAAACCCTAGGGTCCCGGCCCCCACGACGCTACCTGAACACCTGACCGCACGAAAGGAGACCACCGGGCAGGGCCGCCGCCCCAGGTGCGGCGCTCGGAGGGCGCCACCCGCGGCTGCTTCCGCCCGACAGCTCTGCACTCACAAGGCAGAGGCGGTGCCGAGCAGCCCGGCAGGTGCAGCGGGCGCGGCGCGAACAGACGCTCGGCGCACGAGGAAGAGGGAGTGCCCCGAGTTGAGGCTGGGGAGAGGATGAGGGGTGTGAAGGACACGGGCATCCAGAAGCAGAGAAAGGGGCCTAGCTCTCACCCTTGTCGCACGCCAGCAAGAAAAGCTTCTCATTCAGGGTGTTCTCCTCCTTCACCTCCCGCACATCCTTCAGCGCCATCACCTCGTTCGGCGACGAAGAGGAGGATGGGGAGGAAGGCAGGGAGGAGGAGGAGGCGCCCGAAAGGTCCGTGCTCGGGTACAGGGCCGCCATCATCGCGGCCCATGAAAGGGGCAGGCCAGGAGACGGGGGCGGGGCCCCCACCAGCCCCGACCCCGACCCCCGGCTGGAAAAGGGATGAGTCGTTCCCACGGCCGCCTCGGCGCGCGGCCCGTTGGCCCCGAAGGGCGTCGCCTCCCCACGGAGCCAGCACTCGCCCTCCACCGACAGCCCCAAATTGGTGGCGGCGCATGCGCGGCCCCGGGGCCAGCGCCCCCTCCCCAGCCGCCGGCGCCCAGGCCGAGCAGGTCCGCGCCCGTCCGGGGACGGCAGAGTGGCCCGCGCCAGGGCGGCAGCCGAGCGCGGGGCCGTGCCAGGAGCCGCTGGGGCCGCGCGGGGAGCGGCCCGGCCAGAGTGGAGGACGAAAATCGGTGGGAAGGGTGCTCCAAGAGGCGATTCTGCACCAGCCGGGCTCCAGGGCTCTGGAAACCGCCGACCGAGCTGCACCCAGAGATGTTCGCGGCTCTCCTCACGTCATCTTCCGCTCGGTGAGAGCGACGACCACGGGGCAGGCTCTGTGGTGGGCGGGACCTGGGGCGGAGGCGGAGTCCGCGAGCGCACCGCCCCCTGGAAGGCTTCCAGCCTCGGAGGAAAAGGCGAATGGCCGGGTGTACCCTCTCCACAACCAGGTTGCAGGTTTGAGGTAATTTCCCCGCCGTCTCGGGCTGCACACAAGTTAAACATGCAGCGGGGTAGTTCACTGAGCCTCTGATGACTTAACGTTTAGTCGAACCCCCCCCCCCGTGGAATTGTCGAATTATTGCATATTCCTTTGTCCTCTGCCTAAACTAGAAAGGACAGGGCCCTCGCCACGCCACCAGACCTGTGTTCATCTGTGTGTAATTATGTCGGGCTAGCTACATAATTATTTCTAAAACTGTATTAAAAAGAAAAAAACCATTTTGTGATATAAAATTGGCATAACATTTCTAGTATCGTTTATTCGCATGTAACCATTGGATAAGCACATCATTAGGATTTACTCTACGTCGTAGTCCTTACAGTGGTTTCTTGTTCATCTTCACGTTTATAACTCAGATTTTAGAAGATGAGTGTTATTTAAGCAAAAGCTAACCGAAGTGCAGTAAGTGCTACTTCCTTGAATATTTTTTTTTAATTAAGCTTGTATTTAAAGCAGATTCTTGCAACTTTAAAAGCTGAGGGAGGGGGACTGGAAATTGTATCTCGAATAATTATTGCTTTCCACAGCCAACTGTGCAAAAATCTAAATTGTACCCATAGTGCTTAGGTTTTTAAGGCAATACATAAATTTACTTGAGTACATGTATTTGAGAGAAATACTTCCTATTCTGTTCAGGTTGATTTGTTCCATCGCTGTCCCGGCCAACTCTAACTCCCAAATTTCCTAAATATATCTTTCTCATCATTCACAGTGCTCTTTCGATCTTCTCTAAGAGGCCTTAGGTAGACAAGATTGCCCACCTTTCCAAACATTTTTATGTGTTTACTTCAAAACAGTTATCTATTAAATCATTTTAGCTTTTTCTTTCTTATCTCTAGTAGATCATAAATCTGCCCCATTCTCTAATGTTTAATACAGTTCTAAGTTTGTGTATTTAGTGGAATGTCAAAATTGCTCATTGTAAAAAAAAAAAAAATTGCTCATTGTAAATCTGTGGCCAGTGAACGGAGTGGTACCTATTTGGGTTTATGGACACTCTTTGTAGTCCAGTAAAATTTTTTTCTCAGTAGCAGAACAGCTCTAACCCAGGCCCATCCAAAAGTTCCAGAGTGTTTAAGGGTCAAAATTCACATGGCTCAGAACTATAGAAACCACTTTAATCTGACGTTTTTTCAAGCTTCTGGGTTTAGGTGATTCCTTTTCCATAAGGCTCCCACAGGGGCTGGACTGATTTCTTAGATTCAGGAGAATTCCAATTTACTTTAGGAGGTAATCCTAGGAGGCATTCCAAAGTATTAGAGGGTTTTTCCTCCTTCAAAGTAAACTAGTGTTTCAACTGTATCTTCAGAAGTCTTTTTGAATCATCTCAGATGCAGAATATTCTCTCTTGTTTCTCGGATCCTTTTTCATCCAGTGTAAATTGGGGTATTTTAAGATCCTCTATATGATTTATTTTTCATCTGTGATATGGAAACCGATGATAGAGCTATGATGAAGGTGCAAGATTCAGAAGCATGCAAGATTCAGAAGCAGCATGTTGCTTAAAGCAACTCACCGAACCTCATATACTGAAGAGCCATCACAACTCCAGTTGTGATGGAGAAGAGAAAATCCAGATTCAGATCTAGACCTATAAGTCATAGACCCTGTCTTCATCTCCAAACTCTCTACCTCTCCCTCTTAGGCCAATTTGCCTATTTCTTTTCCTAAAATGCCTGCAAGACTCTTCCTGACTCACAGCCTTTGCACTTGTTCCTTCTACTGAACAGTTAGCATCTGGCTGCTCCTCCTACCATGCATACCTCAGCCTGACTATCACAACCTTAGAGAGACCTTCCCTGACCCACCCAAACTAAAAGCATCTTCACCCCAGTTCCTAAGTCTCTATCACATTTCCCTGTTTTATTTCTCTTAGTGCATTTATCACCATCTACAAATCCTATTTGTTTACTGTCTGTCTTTCTCCACTAGGAAATTAGATTCATGAGGCCAGAAAACTTTGTCTATATTTTTCTCAGCTGAATCCCCAGTGTCTAGTATCATACCCGGATCATAATAGACAAATTTATGTTGATTAACTCAAATTATTTCATCACAAACTAAATTTGTAGAAATCATTTACTTGGTCTTTCCTAAAATTCTTCCTGTTAAAGAATCATAGAACCATCTTCACTCCTCCTAAAATAATAAATTTTTTGTTGCTGTTTTACTCATTAGCGTAGGAATTTTTCTCTTTTCTTTTCTGGAAAATAAGTTTATGATAGATTAATTTTCCAAGTTATATATTTTTCTTTAAATGAAATAAATACTGACACATTTGTACATACACAGAATTTTTATTAAATATATTTTGTGAGAGAAAGAACACTCTAAAGTGCCAAATTGCATGTAAATCAGATAACTCAGTGAATATAATGGTGAAAAAAATCAAGAGGAAATGATTTAAATAATATCACAAAAGAGCAAGAACATATTTTAATCTTCATATAAGAAAACAATTATCAAATGATAAAAGGAAAGGAAATCTCTTTTGTAGAATATATTTCAAAGTTCCACCTGTTGATGATCTCATTTAAAAAATTCTCTTCTAAGCACATGAGTAGTCGTACTCTTACCATCACGTATGTTTTAATCCATGGTAGGAGGGGGGTTTAGACTACTCATTCCCAGTGAGATAAAGTGACAGCATTTTTTGTTGCACAGCAGTACTGGTCACTGGCACTAACAGTGGAAGATGAAGGAAGTAAACTTCTGAACTCAATTGTTAGCAGAATTGGTCTATTGCTAAAAAATTCAGACAAAAATAGGTCTGAAGCAAAGCTACTGCCAAGTAACATAAGCATTAACCAAACATTGCCAATTTGAAGGAAACTGGGAAAAACGTGAAAATATGTTGAATATTAGCTTTGTGTTACTTTCTACTAAAGATATTCAGTGGGCATATTCTAAATTAGGGCTAGAATATCAAAAATTAGCATGTGTAATATGAAGCTAATAATATGGTATCAACATGTCTTGAGAGCTGTAGCCAGTGTTTGAAGTCAGTTGAAAAGTAACTATATGCACATCCAAAATGAATATTTCTAAAAGAAATCTTCATGTACCAGATAGCTACAAACTGAAAAGTGTTACGCACCTAGTGGGGGCACAATTATTACTTAATGTTGGTTAACTGACCAATACAGTCATCCTTCAGTATCCAGAGGACTGGTTCCAGGACCCCCCAAAGGATACCAAAATCTGCAGATGCTCAAATCCTTTATATAAAACAGCTTAGTATTTGCATATAACCTACACACATCCTTGCGTGTACTTTAAATCATCTCTAGATTACTTATACCTAATATACTATGCAAATAGTTGTAAATACAATGTAAATGCTATGGAAATAGTTGCTGGCACTTGGCAAATTTAAGTTTTGCTTTTTGGAACTTTCTGGAATTCTTTTTTTCAAATATCTTTGATCGCCGGTTGGTTGAATCTGTGGATGTGGAACCATTGGATATGCATGCATCAGATATGGAGGGTTGACTGTATACATACCACTTAAGAAAACCTGGGTAATTCAGGTGCAAAATATGTATATGTACACACATATTTCTCTAATAACATCTTACCAACATGTATATGCTGCATGTCATAGTTAAAGCTGTATTACCAAACCAGTACATGTAAAGTATTGATGCAGTTAAAATTAAGTTTTAAGTAAAAAGCTCCTGCTACTTATATAAGAGAATGTACTTTGAAGTTTATTCATGAGTTAGTCCTTATATATAAAAAAGTTTAATGTTAATGAACAATCCTTGTCATTTAAAAATTTTAGACAGTATAGAAATTTACAGAAAAGTTAAAGTTTTGGACCACTTCACATAGTTGGAGGAAAAAAAATAAAAGGATTAAACTGGATTATGCCTTTGAATACAATTATGATCAAAATCAACACACACACAAAATCAAAACACATTTCACAGCAGGACCTGCAGAAAAAGTTTTGCATTGATCATTTCTGAACCATGAAAAAGAATGAGTCTTGTTTTAATGAGACTTTCAGGAAACAATAATTTAATCATAAAATATCATCTTGAAAATGAACACACTCTTATCAGTATCGACTGGTAAATTAATTGTCAACAAATCCTAGCTAGTATGAACAGGATATTAAATTCACTAATG